TCTTATTCTGATGCTTTAAAAACCAGCAGTCTTTCCAAATGAAACAGAAGTGTACTTTGCTGCAAGAAGATGAACACAGAGATGAGTCAACTTTTATTCTTCAACATTTATTTCAAAAATGGAGATAATAAACATCACTCAAAGAGTACCCATTTTCAAGAGGGTGCTTATCTATTCCTTTTTTCTTTCTTTTCCTGCTACTATTATTCAGCAAACATTTTTCTCGCTTTCTTCTCTGGCATAAACATCCATGCCACCTTTATTCACACAAGTTTGTGCTTCAAGTTTTTTTGTTTAATTTCAAATGCCTGTTTCTCATTTGGGTTGTGAGGCCTCAATTAGGAAAAGAAAGTACAGACCCATGCCAGGCTTCAATTAGGAGAAGAATGTTTAGACCCACTACCCCATTACCAAGCAACTAATTAAGGGTTTTAAATATTATAGACCAAAAAGTGAAGACATCACAGTCTACCTGTAAACCACAATATACCAGCATATTTTAAAAGTACCTAAGAAGAAAAACACAAGTAGCAAGTAGTCACACAATGGTGATATATGTGTTAAAATCTAGCAAGGGATACAGTGTCTACATATGCACCACAGAAATCACAATGATTTCAAATACTGTTTTGTGTTCTTTTATACAAAGTTTTTCATGTCTGACACTGACGGGTGTTCACACAGTACAAAAGGATGATATGCGTAAGGGGTAAGATTCCACTTTATGCTGGTCTAGCAGTACAAGAGAATGGTATGGTAAGATCCATTTTAGACTATGCTAGCAGTTTAAGAGAATGGTATGTATGGTGGTAAGCTGTATTTTACACTAGTTCAGCAGTACAAGATGGTGTGTGTGGTGATAACATTTCATTTTGACACTTTCTAGCAGTACAAGAGGATGGTATCTGTGGGGGTAAGATCAAATTTTACACTATTTTATGTTTTTGCAGTGAGTTTATTTTTAATTATTTAAATTAATAAAACATGGTGCGAGTGAAATATTATTTTTAAAGTGCAGCAAAGTTTTCAGAATAACTGCTTAGGGAGGAAGAGAGAGCGGTAAGTCACATTATTAGAGCAAGTCTCCATTACAGAATGATTATTCCAAAGCAAAACTGTAATACTTTTGAAGATAAATATTTTCAGGTTAAGCAAATTGTCTCACTGATAAACTGATCTATACTGTCTCGCATACAATGATGTCCTGTTTAAACTCTTAGACAATCTCCTATTGCAAAGTCAGTTCCTTGTTAAATCTTTTTGTATAGTATGCGGAAACATAATATACATTAAACGTGTCTGAAACCAACACATTTCACTCAGCTGTGGTAACAATGAGCCAGGTGAAGATATAAAAGCATAAAAATCTAGAAAACTGCATTTTTGCTCTTCACATATCACATTATCAAGATTTGTTGTAATCATTCCTGCAAAAAGAAAAAAACAACACATCACAAACAATTATCAACAACACGTGTGAACTGTTAAAATTCTAATGTTTAACTTAATCCCCCAAGTTAATGTAGATGTACCAGAGTGCTTCCGTAATGCCCCAAACTGTGCCAAAGTAACAAGGTTTTGTCCATAAATTGAAAAACTTCACTAAAGATTTAAATCTCTTTTTATTTATAGCTTTTCTGAAATTCATTAGTTAGTTAGTTAGTCGATACGGTTCTGGTATCACAGCAAACGAGCTTGGCCCATTATTGCTCAACCGCTGTTGCCAGTGATTCAAGTCACAAACTGAGTCAGATATGCTGGATACTTCAAGTGAATGATGTAATCATACAAAGTGTCCTCAGTCAGCAAAACACACACGATTTGATCTGGCAAACCATAAGGTGCATGTCGCCTTAAACACACTGCAAGAGCAGGCGCCATTGCTGAAAATCAACTTCATTCGTCAAATAGCTGGGCAATGAGCAGATTAAAACGATTCCTGACCATTCTCCACATGTCCTCGGCCAAGTTGCAGCAACGGCCAGCAAATAAATAGCAGCTATAGCACACGCCTTGTCCCAGGAACACAACAAAGAAAAATACATCACCCATCATTGCCATTATGTATGAAGTCAGAGTGTATCTGCCTGAGGCAAGGAACCAACAATCTGCATATAAATTAAGTCAGATCTGTTAGACGAATGTGCACGCAATACTCAGGTTCTGGAACAAGACTAAAGTCTAGAGGTGGACAAACAACCAGAACTTTCTGTTGGAGTTTATTTACAGCAGGTGAACATGAAGAAGAGTTCTACTAAATGGAGACAATTAAGAACCACCACAATGCATAACTCTTCATACCCACTAGCTACCCACCCATAAAATCATAAAATGTCAAGGAAGGATATATCTGTCATCCCAGAAAGTTAGTAACTGGCTTAACACAGTCATCATATCCACATCAGTTTTAAAAAAAGGGCATAATTAATGCTAGGATGAGTCAACAATGCTAACAATAAAATTATAGATGTACTACATCTGCAAAGGGCCAAATACACAACCAGTGCAAGAAACAAATATGTTTTTTCTTACTAAAGTGAGACATACAAATCTAAATAGCATGCTGATTGGTGCCTGTTAATAATATCTATGTACATATGATGTCTTGTTGGTACTGGAAGAGTTAAGTTGTTACAACTTCATTTCTCCTAAAGTAAAGGACTCTTTGTTTATTTGCGATCCAGTGCATGGTTTCTTGCTGGGAAGTAAAGGTGGCCGGCATGAGGCTAACCACATCACCCAGCCAGTGCTGACTGATCTATAAAATATAGAGTAATATTACGCCTTGCAAGTGGTGATTTTGCTCATATCGGTTTTGGATAATGTCATTTTTGGCTGCGGTATCTTTATTCTGCTTATATTCTTTTTTTTTTTTTAAAAACTCATAGTTATGTTTGGATGTCTTAATAATGGTGACAATTGGTATATCTTCTTTTTCGTCTTTGTTCTCAGTTGTACAGCTGAAAAATTGGTACACTTGCTTTATGATATCTTGTTTCTTTTCCTATGTTAATTCTGCCATATTTCTACTTTTGTGTTTGTAGACCAAACAGCACTTGACAGGTGATGTAGTTAATATCATGCCAATTGCCTTTACCTTTCTTGAACATTTCCTCATACCTATTTTAGGCTGGGTTTCCACCGAAGCCCTAGATGAATTGTACAAACTGTCTCAGCTTGGATTTGAATGCAAGGCTTTTGGCCCAGCAGAAAAGTGCCTATTAACTGTTCTATCGTAGCACACCTCTGCCCACTTATAAGTTTGTAATTGTGTTATAATGAGTTCCCTAAACTACATAAATCTGAAAATCAAAGTCTGTTATTATATGATTATAATATCTACACACTTTCAGTTGTTACTTGCCCTTAATTCAGAGAGGTAAAAAAAAGACTGGCTGTATTAACAAGTGACTGAGCTGTCAATTCGGCACAAAAGGGGCCTGAAACAAACCCTAGAACAAATGACTTAAGACTATAGACTAATAATTAGGTCTGCACCTTCCAGGCAATTACATTTCTTGTAGTAAAAACAACAGCAAAGGAAAGATGACAAATGACTATTTTATAGGAACTATTTTTATACTCCACCAAGAAACATGGATGGGCTATCTTCCAAATAACGGTCCTAAATTATCGAGGCCGAAAATATACCCTAACAGGGCCTCAGTCACGTGTCAATTGTGGACTTCCGGCAACTTAAATTGCGCACTTCCGGCAACTACCGGCACCGCCGAGAGTATCTCCCACGCCGCTAAGCACGGTGTGGATTGGGGCTAAACTAGTGGCTGGGACTCACGAGCAGCAGCTACCGCATCTCTTGCAGCTTCCTTCATTTTATTTGCTCGTGAGTCCCAGCCATCTAGTTTAGCCCCAATCCACATCGCTATGCGTGGTGTGGGAGATACTCTCGGCAGTAGCGGAAAACCGCAATTGACATGTGACTGAGGCCCTGTTAGGGTATATTTTCAGCCTCAATAATTTGGGACCATTATTCAGATTTTTATTAGGCTCATCGGCTCTACTGGCAAATTTGGCCGGTAAGCTGGACTGCTTCGGCCGGCTTAGCAGGGCTTAGTGGGAGTTATGTCCCTTCACGTCCCTTCGCCAAACTCAAAACATGTCACGGAAAAAGTCACGAATCAAATGACATACTTACCTATCATCATCCGGGTGCGTGTAGGGCTGCGTAGGGTGGCGTCTAGGGTTACCTATCATCATACGGTTGCGCGTAGGGTGTCTATCATCATCATACGGTTGCGTGTAGGGATGCGTAGGGTGTCTATCATCATCATCATACGGTTGCGTGTAGGGTTTGGGTTAGCGGTAGGGTTAGGGTTAGGGGTAGGGTTAGGGTTAGATGATGTGAAAATATTCACGTAGGAGGTGGAAATACTGGCCGACAATCTGATACTTGTGGGAGTGGTGCCACTGAAAGTGTGCCAAATATGACGGCAATAGCGCGCGGCGGCTGGTGCCCAACCGGTGGCGAATTGTCCGTGTCAGTAGCATCCACCGTCCGTCGACTGTTTGCGCGTACATGCGACTGTGCACGATTGTAGGGAACTACGGCGTCATAATTGTCACATCTAACGCTACACCTAACCCTAAGCCCTAACCTCTTACCCTAAACCTAACCCATAAACGCTAACCCTACCCCTCAACTATCTTATGCAAACAACCAACCCTACACGCAATAAGCAGCCCTACACGCAACCGTAGGACGATGATAGACACCCTACGCAACTCTACACGCACCTGGATGATGATAGGTAAGTATGCCGTTTGATTCGTGACTTTTTCCACGACTTGTTTTGAGTTGTTTTGGTTTGGTTAAGGGACATAACTCCCACTAAGCCCCGCTAAGCCAGCCGAAGCAGTCCAGCTTACCGGCCAAATTTGCCAGTAGAGCCAGCTCATCAGTCAGCAAGCATAACAGTAATTTATGAGGCTTTTAGTTACTATGGTAAATGCATGAAAACATGGAGAACAACATACTTGCGTTAGTCATCGTCATCATCTGGTACAAATAATTCATGCTCTTCAAGCCAGGCTGCAAATTCTCTACTGATTGTCGCTCCACCCAATAGAAATGGCGTAACAGTCAATGCAACCTGCAATAATTTATGTTACTGAGTAACTTACTGCAGAAACAAAGATATAGTGTGAAAAAAATAGTATTATATAATAACAAACATGAAATTAATGCACATTGTAAAAATATTATTATTTTTGTTACTACTCTGACTTCTGGGTTGGCCGTGTTAAATTTTATAAAAGAGTACAAGAAAATTAAGCAAGCTACCTTGATGAGACCAAACCGAACTTGGGGTGGTTTAGGAAGGATAGCCCCGTTTTCGCTTCTTGTTATATATCTAACACCAATATTTGGCTTTAATGTAGAGATCATATTTGGAGTCAAGAGCGACCTATGCGACCGGGAACCTACAACCCTCAACAACCCCGAAGCGGCCATGTTGTTTGTTGTTCTATTGAACTCTTTTCTCGATCTGATAATAAAACGAAATTTACCGTCTGTCTCAATTACATTTCTATTAGAACTCTTTTTTTTATTTTATCGTATCTTATGTATTTCACTATAACTGCCAAAGCGTCTTTTTTGAGTTTGTGTGAGAAATATTTGATGCTGAGGTAATGTATATTTCAGCAATGAATAGTATAAAATTAGTGTTTTGCGACGTTTCTGCAGATCTGCGGCGCCAGTGATTCCAATCACTTTCCATCGCCTCAATATGGCTGCCTGCAGCCTTTTCGAAGAGGATGAAGTCTGTGTGTACAAACCGGGAAAGGGCTACAGTTTTGGACTAGTCTTGGAGAACTCTGAATTTTTGAGCAGTGGGGAAGAGGATGAAGCTGAAGCTTTAAACGATCGACTGTCCAAAGGAACTGTGAGAGTGTCATGGTATCCAAGTGGCAAAGAAACGGTAGTCTCCGAAGATAAGGTACTGACTGAGACAAAACATATTATTATTATTATTTAATTAATTAAAATATTATTATAAATAACTATTTTATTACAGATTAAAGAATGTAAAGTCGTCTAGCTAACTACAAAAAGCCAGTCAGTTATGTGGTATCCTGAAAGAGGCGATATGATATCAATCAGATGTAACAAATTTTTACAATTTATGTGGTAAATGACTACATTTGACTGACACAATACAGTACAGACTATACATAATAATCACTGAATATATGTTTACCTGGATGATCTGACCACATGACAAGACTGAGACAAAAGCAGATCAGATATGTGAAAGTGGTGCCCATGTGAGATCGGTGATCATGGCCACCTTTTCTTGTCCAAATTTCTTTTGATGGGTAGACGTAGAAGTCTATGTCTGTCACACTGGCACTGATATTTTAATTGTCGGGGCCTCTCCCTCTGTAGGTTCTGAGGCCGTGTTGTCAATGAACATGCCACTCCCTCTGTAGGTTCTGAGGCCGTGTTGTAAATGAACATGCCTCTCCCTCTGTAGGTTCTGAGGCCATGTTGTCAATGAACATGTCTCTCCCTCTGTAGGTTCTGAGGCCGTGTTGTCAATGAACATGCCTCTCCCTCTGTAGGTTCTGAGGCCGTGTTGTCAATGAAAAAGTATTGACCCACTGCCCCCTCCACAGCATGTCGTAAATTTCTTATAATAAAAGAGGCGGCTGTCCTCCGAATAATGGGCACATGTTATGGCGGCCATAAACAGGGCCTCAGTCACATGTAAATTGCAAACTTCTGGCAACCTAATTTGTGGACTTCCAGTGGCTACTGACACCACCGAGAGTATCCCCACGCGTCTTGGATTGGGGCTAAACTAGATGGCTGGGACTCACAAGCAAAGCTGCAGGAGATGCAGAAGCTGCTGCTTGTGAGTCCCAGCCATCTAGTTTAGCCCTAATCTATGCGGCGGTAGTCGCCAGAAGTCAGCAAATTAAGTTGCGGAAGTGCGCACTTGACATGTGACTGAGGTCCTGTTAGGGTGTTTTTGCGGCCGCCACAATATGTGCCCGTTATTCGGAGGATAGCCCCACGCCGCGTGAGGGATACTCTCGGCGGTGGCGGTAGTCACCGGAAGTCTGCAATGTGCATGTGACTGAGGCCCTATTAGGGTATATTTATTTAGAAAGAAGTTAGATCTGTAAAATAGTTGTGCATGCAAATCTCAAGTTCTGAAACAAGACTCAAGTCTAGAGGTGGACAGACAACCAGGACTATTTCCTTGGGAGTTTAACAGTCGGTGAACATGAAGAAGAAGAAACAATTTTTAGGGGGTTTCAGTTATGCCTTTTATAACGGTTTTCTGGATTCACAGGTGCAACTGTTGGACAGATCTCTCATGCCAGGCGATGTGGTCAAACGACTTATTCCTGGACAGGAGAGCCAGTGTGGATTTGTCATGGACATGGATGTTCACTGTCACCTGCGCATACTGAGAACCAGCAAGTACATCTACAGTGTCAACTCCAAAGACCTGGAACCCTTGCAGGTTTCTGTTTGGTCCTCCTACTCTTCCTTCATTTTATTCTATTCTCGCTTACCCTTATCTTGTCTTTTCATCTCCTACCCTTCTGCTACTCTTCATCCTCTGTTCTTCTTATTCTTACTTTTTTCATGCTTCTTTCTCCTCTTCTTCACCTTCCGTGATGGATACAAATGCATTGTCTTTAGGATCTTATGATTATACATCAAGCTCAATTCATATGTGAATATTGGAGACTCTTCACACAATGTCAACAGATGACAAGAAAGCTGAATGTCTGTATACATGTCTAACTGTGATGTTGCTACTTATCATTTCTGCTGATCAGTGTAATCTGAAAGCTCCCAACTGCTACCTTTAGTGTGAACATTCTAGAAGTTCTTATTAATTGCCATAATTCAGCGTCCTCAGTTTGTATTGTCTAGCTCCTTCAGGTGCTTGTTAACATGACCACTATAGATATTGACAGTTCACCAAAGATAACTGCAGCAAAGATGTGAATTGATTCACTAGCTTTTTTGCATTATAAAGTAAAGTGGCTTTTCAATTTTTCAATAATATCTCTATATCTGTTTTATAAGTCTGAATCAATTAGTGAGCCATATGTATTGTTGTGGAAAAGACTCCCCACCCGCACCCACAGCTGACAGTTTAACTGATGATGCTGTTCTAGTTAGCCTTTATGCCATCTATAATACAAACATTAGTTACAAGTGCTATAAGTACTACACTTAAGTATTACACCGCTATTTAGTGCATGACATTGCTGTTGGGCAGTATTTAACAGGTTGCTTTTTGCTGTATTAATGTTCTGATTTTAATGATTCCATAAGGTGTACATTTATGGTTCTCATATTCAGCTAGAGTATGGTTGTGTTTGTGCTTGAACATTTTTTGGGCGTTATTGCTCCAATAAAGAGCTAAATGCAGTTCAAATCTCATAGCTTCACTCCTGCTTTTAGATTAATGAATCTGGGCTGACCAGAGTGCCACTGCACTTTCATTTGCTGCTTTTGTAAACAGACATTTTGTTTTCTCAAACAGAAGTTTGAATATGGGCAAGAAGTGATGCTGGACTCATGGCTTGGCAGAATTGAAGGCTTTGATATACAGGTGATCCTGCTGTTTGCGGATGGTGCCAGGTATGAGTTTGCTATGTAATGTTTAACTAGTTGCAAAGTAAAGCTGTGAGCCATTACCATGTTGAGTTGACTATATTTTAACTGTAAGTGATGTGATTATCTGTGCAGGTGGCTCTATGTTGAGAGGTAGATGGGGGTTCATAGCAAAAGTGCATAAACATCGCTTAGTGCGACAAAACCTGGCATATGATATCACAACGCTTAGTTTGAGAATGGAGGGGGAGGCAGTCACTGCTGCCTTCTACTGGATTGAGAGTAGCTGTACACACGTCGTAATTGTAACTGATGCAAAGATTGTGTTGAGAAAGGCATGCTCCTTGCAGAGTAGCGAGCATCGCTTCAGAGGTCCACGGTAGTTAGCATCCTTTAGATATTTTCTTCAGGTCATTCTGGTGTATTGGGAAACGAGCAGGCAGATAGAGTGGCTAGTTCTGCACCACTTGGTGGTGAATTCGTGTGTGACAAGCTTGATGTTGTAAGGGTCCTTTGGTAGCAAGTGAAGAGGCAAAAATAGATAATTATGGTCTGAGGAGAATGGCACTGCGGGGAGTTATCGCGGGATCTGGCCGACGCTCAGCACTCGGGGGAAAGATGAGACAGATGTACAATCAGACAGTTACTGGTACCATCAAAATTGGAACTCTTCACTTAGTGCTGAAGATGGAGACGGAGCGCTTTTGGGATTGTCCTCAGTGCTGTGATGTTGATTCTTGATTCCACATTAAATTTCAGTTATCTGACATGAATGGCAACAAGGCTAGAATAACTGGAACCATTGAAGATTTCAATAGAACCCATGCCAGGGCCATGTGAATAGGTTTGGCAGGGAACATGTCTGGTGTATGATGGATACACAAGCATGGTCTTTGTTAGCCTTTTTTTAGGACAGTGTAATTAGCAGATTTGTTTATGATGTTACACTATATCAGGTGTTGCTTTGACTTTGAGTGGTGAGCAGAACCTTGTTTGCTAGCCACCTGCCATGGGGAAGGCACAGCTAGAGGGTTATGTTATCTCCCTCAGGCTGAGAAAGTACCAGGTTCAAATCACAGAATATGACTGGGAATTTTTACAAGAAGTTTTAAGTTGAATGTTACCACGTTTCCTCTAATCTCTTGGCTAGTTTAAGATACGTAGCCTCAGATACAGACAAAAATGGTAGGTTTAATTAGCACGTTCAAAATGCCATTTCAGGTGAAATTAGCTGCTGCCCAATAAAAAATAATTAAGAAAACCTGCCCATGGGCAGATAGGGTTCATTACACTGAATGGAATTTTGTCAGAAGAAGAAGACCTTGTACTAAATTCGAGTTGCTGTCAGACACACCAACTTCTTATATACATAACTGTTTTGGACTCATGTCACAGGTGGAATGAGGAATAAGAAACCACCTTGGCAAAGTTAAATGTGCAATCTGTTATTTGTGACTTCTTTGTTCAAATGTATTTTTGTCAAACTGCATCTTATGTTTGGATGCGGCTTTTAAAAAAGATTTTTTCAAGGAACAAGATTAGACCATCCTAACAAATATGTAGTGAAAGGCGACTAATTAGAGATGTTTCTTTTGAATTTGAATGCAACACTTAAGAAGTGAGGAGCCAGTAGTTTGCGTACAAATAAGCCACATCTGTGAAACTGATGTGTACACAAAACTCAAGTTCCGCAAGAAGACTCAAGTCCAGAAGTGAAGGAACAAACAGAACTTCCTGCTGGAGTTTACAGCTTGGTATGTTAAGAAAAATATATTTATACTGGGAAATTATTGACACATCATTATTGAATCATGTATGAATGATCACATCCCCTGATTCATATCTTTACATATATATTGTAAATTTTAATTGCAATGCTTTTGATTTTAAACTAGGTGCCAGGTAGATGAAAGTGATCTTTGTCCATTTCATGATATCGTGGAAAAGAGATCGACGGTAGGTGTTGCATAAATGGATCAGATATGATTTATAATTGAAATTAGTGCTGATGTTTGTTGTCTGTGTGTAAACATCTCTCTTTTGTTTCCAGAGCCTATCAAGTAGGCACAGAAAAGTAACTCTGCAACCGACCATTTATGCTAAAAGCAACTAAGCAAAGTTGACATGCAGCTAGCTCTCTCAGCACATAGTAAACTTAAATGCTACCATTTAAAAAAAAAACCATGAACAAGTTTATGCCTGGAGAAAAAACTCATGAACCGGAATAGGGGATACCTTTCTCCTAGAAGAGGTTTGATATAATGTGGAGAAAGGTGTAACAATTCAGCATAGAGTAGCTATATTGGTGAATAATGTTCTACCCCACCAACACCCCACAATGAGTGTAAACACCTGGTGACACTGCCACCATTCAGCCGAGAATCACATGGGCACCAGTCCTAGAACCCTGTGCAACCATTCAGTTATATTAGGGCCTTTGGTGATAGCTATTCTGGACTTTAAAATAACCACACAAAAACTGCATTGCAAATTGAGGTAAGCATAGCTGAAATGAAAACATCTGTTTTTATCACACTACCCAAGAAATCAAAAGCTGTTGATTATGAAGATTACAGAACTATTAGCCTAATGAGTCACGTAACTAAGTTACTTTTGAAGATAATACAAGCAAGAATCCAAAATAAAATAGAGAAAGAAGTTTCTGAAGAGCTATTTGGATTCCGTAAAAACAGTGGTACTCGAGAGGCCATAATTTGTCTAAAGATGCTGACTGAAAAATAAATAGAAATTCAGAAAAATATTTATCCATGTTTTATAGATTACAAAAAAGCTTTCGACAGAGTGGAACATGAACAACTAATTGCAGCTCTTCAAAACATAGGACTAGATGGAAAGGATATCAGACTTTTTAGAAACTTATACTGGGAGCAAGAAGCAACAGTAAGATATGACAACATCTGCTCACCCCAAGAGAGGAGTAAGACAAGGATGTGAGCTGTCGCCTAGCCTTTTCAACTTATGTACAGAAACCATTTTTAAAGGAATTGTAGAATTACCAGGACTGAACATCAATGGTAGAATAATAAACAATCTGAGATATGCTGACGACACAGTGTTGCTAGCAGAGAGTGAGCAGAGTTGCAAGATCTAGTGGAGCAAGTAAACAGAAGGAGTGCAGAATTTGGATTAGATATTAATTTGAAAAAGACAAAAACCATGATATTTAGCAAAGAAAATAATCAGCTAACAATGAATATCACAGTGAACGGGGTGAAATTGGAACAAGTTAAAAATTTCTTATATCTTGGATAAGTAATAACATGTGACGGCAGAAGTGAAACAGAAGTCAAGAAAAGAATAGGGATGGCCAAAAACATTTTCAACAACATGCAAAAGTTACTGACATCAGGAGAAATAAGCAATGTATTAAATATGAGAATTGTCAAATGTTATGTATTCTCAACCTTACTGAATGGCACAGAGACATGGACAGTGAACAAACAACTAGAAAATCATATCAATTCTTTGGAGATTCAGAAGATTAGGTCGTATTTCATGGAAAGAAAAGCTATTAAATACAGAGGAACTGAGGAAATTGGGAATGAAGAGAGAGTTGCTAGGTGAAATAAAAAAGAGACAAGTGAAATATTTTGGTCACATTAAAAAACATAACAGTATTGTAAAGATCATCCTAGAGGGAAAGGTTCAAGGTAGGCGAGCAAGAGGCAGACAGCGTTACAAGTGGGAGGATAACATCAAGAGGTGGACGAACAGCAGTATGAGCGAGTGTATATCAAGGGGAAGAGACAGGGCTTGTTGGAGATCCATTGCAGCCAACCTTCATTGTGGAGACGGCACCTGATTGATTGACTGAGCTGAAATGGGTCTGGATTGTCCATTTTCTTAGGAAAATTTTAAGAATGGATACTTGGAATTAAATATAAGATCAGCATTTTAGGATTAAATGCAAGAAAATAAAAGCATGCAGATTTTCTACTCTTGTGAAACAGTGCTGTTCTTGGACAATGCAGAGATATTACCCTTAACTGTAAAGGAGTCGCCATAAATGTTTATGGTTTCTCTGGGCAATTTTATTAATGCAGTAGCTTTCAGAGCATTATGTCCTTTTCTCAGGGTTTGTAGCGAGCCTGGAAACCTTGAAAAAGTCGGAAATTCAAGATCCCTCTCAAGGTCTGGAAAAGAAACTATTTTTATGATAACTGACGAAAATCCTGGAACTTTACCCACCAGTCCTTGAACTTTTAACACCGTAACCTGGACACAGATAACAAAAGGAGAATTTGTGTGATTTCAGCATTCAGGCCTTTTTCCTTTTTTTTTGTGGGTTATAGTTTTTGCAGTTAGGCCGTTTAAACTGACTGTCAGCAAACTGTGTGGGCAAGAGTGTGGGCCAACAGTCTATGAGCGGGCAAGTAATAAGCAGTTCATGGTCTCATTGTTTGCTGGGTGGGGTATGAGCCAGGGAGCTTTCTTCACCTGTCTGGTTTGTAGTACCTTTTCCCTCCCCCCTCTCTCTACCTTCAGTTGATGTAGCAAGGTCAGCTGGTACAGCAGAACATTCCCCCCCGCCCCCCCCCCCACCCCACATTCGTAAACATTAAATTGAATATGTGTTGAATTGTTAAAACTCCCTCCTCACAGTGATGACTTCTGGAGTGGCCTGCACCCCTTCTAGCTTCTCCCACCTGTATCTGTTTTTGTGAGGCTATACTGTCACACCGTATGGTCACTGACCAGGGGCAGAAAGAGTTGATAGGGCTTTATTGCAAGGACTTAGGAGAGAAGGATGACTGAGGATAGCTTTGCTTGCAGTATTACCCCATCCAGCATGAAGATGTTGGTTCAGGCTGTAACCACAGTGTTCTGAAAGGAGGAGAAAACCTTTGCCACACATAGGTTCGTAGTATCAGATTAACTCAGGGAGGTGGAGTCAAGTTTTCTCTGTTTGGAATTGGTCGCATCAATCCAGAGGTCGCAATTGGTAGGTGGAGGACAGAGATGTAGCTAATATTGGCTTCTCCTGAATTCTGTGATGTCGAATCTTTACCTAGATGAACCCAGATGTACGGTTATAACAAACAGCTGTAAGACCAGCTAAAATAATAATCATAATCATGCATAGTGGAAGTTAACAAATAGCAGTCTTCAGACTCTGCATGAGACTCAGGAGCCTAATGTACCAACTAGCCAGCTAAGGCTACTCAAGAATGTGACCAGATTGATAAAATGACACTCAAAAATCTACTGCAAGATTTTCCAACATATGCAGAACAGAGAATTATATTGTCTTGTACTAGCTTTATTTGAAAATTACAAAGTGATTTCAACCCTAAATAAGTTACCAGAGGGTTTGACAGACTCACTACACTCAGAGGAAAGGCGGGATGGACCTATAACCAGATTGTGACCAGTACCATCAGTATTGGAACTCTGCGCTGGTTGCTGAAGAGGACAGAGCACGCATGGAAATGCCCCGAGTGATGTGATGTCAGTTCTTGACTTAACTAACTAACATAAGTTAAATGCTCCTTTCTTTAAATATATTCCCATCTGAAATTGTACAAGAAGAAGGCAATCACTGGCTGAATCAGGACTTTTATTTATGACTAAAGTCTCTGATTTCCACCCAGCCTCATAAAATTGGCATTATAGCTTCTATAAGAAGCATTGGCTGTCAGACAAGGAAATGGTCATCTCACCTCATGTCTAGTAGATATGAATGCTTATCATTTTACGGCTCTCCTCCAAACTTCGTCCCCATATTATGGCGGCCAAACAGATACCCTAACAAGACCTCAGTGGTGTGTAAAATGTGCCTGCCGAGGAACAGATCACGTCAAAACTAGGATTGCCTCCGAATAACTGGCCAATATTATCGAGGGCAAACAAATACTCTAACAGGGTCTCAGTGATGTGTTAATTGCGGACCTCTTTCTGGCAACTATACCGCTGACAGTATCCCCCACGCTGCTACGTGCGGCGCTGATGGCTGGGACTCACAAGCAAATAAATTGGAGGAAGTTACAGGAGATGCATGTGGCTGCTGCTTGTGAATCCCAGCCATCTAGTTTAGTGCCCCCCCCCCCCCCCCCCCCCATCTGCGGCGCAGGGAGATGCTTGGTGGTGAGTTTAATCGGAAGAACACTATCGCTAACCCGCTTCGGAACACGTGGTCTCCCCGCCATGTCCCTATTATCGTGTGTATTGTTGCGTTTCTCGAAATTGTCAACGGACAATAATCCTAGTTTTGCCGCGATGTGTTCGTAGAAGAAAGTTCACATTTTACACACGACTGAGGCCCTGTTAGGGTATTTGTTTGGCCGCCATAATATAGGGACGAAGTTCTGAGGAGAGCCCATTTTACATCTACTTGTCATAAGGTTACTTGTCCTTTACCAAGCACACACTGCAGCCGTATAGTGATTTAATGTTGTGATAAATATGAAGTTACCATGGTAATCACATGGCTGATCTTGAATTTCTGGTGGAGAGGTGTACAGCCAAACTGGACAATGGGATTTATGTATTTCACAGAGAAAGGTGAATTTTTTGGACTTCATTTTATGTTGATTTAATTCTGTAATAATTCACCTGACAAGAAACAACAAAATATGCTAGGCAGTAAATTGTGCAGTGTATATGTGTATGTGCCCACATTACTTAAATTTACGATGGGGAAACAATGTTTTGAATATAAAATGTTTACTGCAGAGTGAGTTCAGTGAATGCCCCTTCTATCCTGGTCAAGAATTAAAGGGTCATTTGGATTCACTTAGCGATGCCAGGTGGTTGAATTCTACTTCCCGCTACTGCCACAGAACTGCCAACAAGAAAGGAAAAAGCACCTCTGTTGTAGTCAAAGTAGAAAAGGTGAGTGTGTCTTTAACATCATTCCACATCGTCTTTTGCTGGGTTTTATTTTCCAGTGGAGCACAGGCTCTCATTCATGTCAAACCCTCCAATCCTTTGCTACAACTTGCAGCTCTTTCCATTTCCCCCCTCCCTTTCCCATTATACATTCTTGTCTCTATTGGTTTCATTAATGTATTTCTTACACTCCCTCGTTTTCTTTGTCCAGAGAACAGGCTTGTTAATTATACACTAGTACCTTCAAATTTGAATGCCTCAAAACTTAAACAACTTGGAAAGCGACCAAAGTGTTCAAGTAAATTTTGCCTTGGAGCTCGAATGCCGCCTTCAAAGCTGAAAGCCTGGCACATCCTTATCATGTGACTGCACTGACAACGCAAGAACTTCAGGACATTCACCAGCAACAGAAGGTAGAAAATGCAGACAAATTTCATCTCTGGAGGAAGAGGTGGGAGCTAGAAAGGTTAGCACTGCTGAAATCACAGATCTTTTGACCATATGGTTGAAAACACAAGTTGTTGTTGAGAAGTGGCGCCCTGATAGAGCCCTTGTTAACAGGTGTGTTCACTTATTCAGTGATAACATTATCTAACATTTTAGAAACACAAAAAATAGTTGCAAAGGCCAGAGCACTTTGAAACAATGTCTGTCAACAAAAACTAGTGACCCCAGACCCTCTACAATTCGTGAGTGACTACAATATGAAACACTAGAAAGGATTCCTGGTGCTATCATGCTATATTTGAAGCAATAATCTCCCTAAATACCCCTTCTTCCTCATACTTCTTTGTGCTGTGTCACCATTTTGATCAAGGTGCAGTTAATACAATGTCTTTGTCTCTTTTTGTGTGTGTGGATTGAATTATGTTTGTCTACAAATATGATCATCATCGTGTTATATATCTACAATGTACTATATTTAGAAAAAAGTTTGTTGGACCCTGGAACAGATTAATGTAGTTTCCATTATTTTCGATGGGAAAAATTGCCCTGGAACTTGTAAAGGCACAACAGGCCAGTCACTTGTTTGGCTAAAACCCCGTTTACAAGCTGTCAGAGAGAAAACCGGACGGATCTTGACAGCGAAAAACTGGCATTGTTTACTACTGACTACGATTTATGGAACATGGAACGTATGAGGTATTAATGGAAAATAAAACGAAGTAATAGGGGAGATGAAAGCAAAATTAGGAATCTTAGTTCTGACTGACACTAAGAAAAAAATGCAAGAGGAATCGCTTATTGTGATGGTAATATGCTGGTGTACAGTGGTATCCCTATGGTGGAGAGAACCAATGGGGGTGTTGGCTTTATTGTGGCCAGGAATTATGTAACATCGAGGAATGAAAATTCATCTTGGAGCTAATTTTGGTTCTAGATATGAAGGAAGAAGATTAAACTGTCAATGTTGTCATTGTGTACGGACTAAACAAAGATGAACAAGTAGATGTCAAAAATGAATTCTTTGAACTGCCCCAAGGGATTGTAGATGATTGTAATGATGAAATTACCCACTTTGGAGATTTGCCTGTTGTACCTTTGCATTGTGGAGGGTTGCCTCCTTGCGGCCTCCATGCCTGCCGTCTGACTGATTCATTGTTACCCACTACTCTGGAAACACGGAGCACTCAGGTTCAGCCAGACCCTCCTCAGCATTCCTGGTAACAATTACTTTAAAATTCTCAGAGACTTAGATGTCTGGCAGAACAACGGCTAGATCAGGCTCAGTGCAGCTTCAGAGGCAAACCGTAGTACTCAAGACCTTATCTTCACACTCAGACAGATGAGTGAACAATTCCTAGAATATAAGTGTGAGATGCACTTATGTTTCCGGCATCTAAAAAAGGCATTTGATAAGGTTCTCTGTAGGGAGCTCTAGGACTGCGTGGCAGGGAAGAACATACAGCACCAATCACCTTGATCAGTGCAATGCAGAGTTTCAACAAAAGCTGCAGAAATTGTGTGAACAGGAAACCAGAAGTCAGAAGAATTTAAGACCACTGGCGATGTTAGACAAGGTGATATTCTCTCAAATTACTCCTTCATTCTTTATATGGATGACATACGTCATCAAGACCTGTAAGGAGAAGACAAAGAAGTACTCAGTAGGGTATGAAATATGAGACCAACCTGCATATCAGAGCTGGCATTTGCAGATGATGTTGCCCTAATTGCTAATCAACCAGCTCAAATACATTGGAGTTGTAATATACCAGAATGGAGGCATAAATCAGACTCGGCAGCTCAAAAAGCAGCAGTTGGAGGCTTTTCTGGGCCATAAACCAGGGTTTTCTCAGAAAAAGAGAAATTAGCAAGAGGACAAAAATGGCTGTATACTGCTCTACCTGTGTGCCAGTCCTGACATGGACGTGAGTCATGGGCAATGACAACTCACAGAAGCCAGCTTCAGGCCTCTGAAATGAGGTGTCTGAAAAAGGTGGTCCAAGTGATAAGAAGGGGCAAAGTTCATAATCAGACAATACATCATGACCTTGAAACCCAGGCCTTACAAACTCAAATGGATTTCTGAAAGTTATGATGGTTTGGACATGTATGCAGAATGGGAGAGAATCGACCATCGTGACAGGCATGGGAGGCCAAGAACCAGGTTTCTTTTATTACTTAATGAGGTCGCTCCTTATGTTTCTAATCCATTCAAAAGTACTGATTTGCCCTCGGAAATTTTGAAAGATTGGTACTAAATTTTGAAGCTTCGCCCAGTGAGATTAGACTATATTTGCTAAGCCATGATGGTGGAAAAGTCGGAGGGGAAAAGAGACAGAGGGAGACCAGGACACAAGCTACTGGACAATTTGAAATCATGGCATAAAGATCATCTGAGTCAGAACTGATTGAAAGTACATGAGTCAGAAGGTTGTGTGTGGATAGACATGACTACTAACGCCACACATCATGAACTGTAAGAAGAAAAAGAAGCATGTTTTTATCTTTGCATCTGATTTCATATGTGGGTCTGGAGAATAGTGCAATCAGTAAAGTCAAAATCATCAAACTGATTAAAAACTTGTTAAAGATGAGACAGTTGACTTCATTGCACGGAGTTTTAACATATCTGGCTAAGTCTCTCTCAATACAGAGAACTCCATAGCTCCAAGGATTTGAAAAAATTAATTACACGCATGAACCAAGAAACCCAACCTGAAAATTAACAGCTATCAAAGTGCATGGCAAACAGCTTGACCACTTCACCTTGAAGACTGTGTCAGTTTTAAAAAGAACAAGTACGGTACATTTGCATTTAAGATTTGTTTCTATAACCATTCTAGATTGTCTACAAGAGTGTCGAAGTTCATTGGCTATATAGAGGCTTTGAGAAAAGTGATCATGTCAATGAGGCATTGAGTCCACCACCTAATGTCATTGAAGGAGATAATGTGGAGAGGTATGTTTGAAATTATGATTAAAAATGCATTTTCCCTTCACAAAATATGGGAACAGTCAGTATCTCTTGATAGAACTCACCAGGCCAACAAACAGCTCTTGTCTTTCAGCAAAAGACAAAATATGTGATTACATTGTTTCAGACAACGTAAAAGTTCATCTCAGAATTATAATCTTATAAACAAGAAACTGCTTGTGCTGCTTGGATCCATAATGGAAGCATAGATTGTAACCAGCCATGCATGTTATTATTTTAAATAGTTTCTAAAGAAGGCTTGGTGGGAACCTTTGACTACCTTTCCCATAGACAGCTAGCTTAGTGGGAAACCTCAGCTAACTAATCCCATAGAAAACTAGCTTGGTGGGAGACTGACTAACTCATCCCATAGAAAACTAGCTTGGTGGGAGACTGTGACCAACTCATCTCATAGAAAACTAGCTTGGTGGGAGACTGACTACCTCATCTTATAGAAAACTAGCTTGGTGGGAGACTTGACTACCTCATCTCATAGAAACTAGCTTGGTGGGAGACTGACTACCTCATCTTATAGAAAACTAGCTTGGTAGGAGACTGACTACCTCATCTTATAGAAAACTATCTTGGTGGGAGATTTGACTACCTCGTCTCATAGAAAACTAGCTTGGTGGGAGACTGACTACCTCATCTCATAGAAAACTATCTTGGTGGGAGACTGACTTCCTCACTTATAGAAAACTAGCTTGGTGGGAGACTGACTACCTCATCTTATAGAAAACTAGCTTGGTGGGAGACTGACTACCTCATCTTATAGAAAACTAGCTTGGTGGGAGACTTGACTACCTCATCTTATAGAAAACTAGCTTGGTGGGAGACTTGACTACCTCATCTTATAGAAAACTAGCTTGGTGGGAGACTTGACTACCTCGTCTCATAGAAAACTAGCTTGGTGGGAGACTTGACTACCTCATCTTATAGAAAACTATCTTGGTGGGAGATTTGACTACCTCGTCTCATAGAAAACTAGCTTGGTGGGAGACTGACTACCTCATCTCATAGAAAACTATCTTGGTGGGAGACTGACTTCCTCACTTATAGAAAACTAGCTTGGTGGGAGACTTGACTACCTCATCTTATAGAAAACTATCTTGGTGGGAGACTTGACTACCTCATCTCATAGAAAACTATCTTGGTGGGAGACTGACTTCCTCACTTATAGAAAACTAGCTTGGTGGGAGACTTGACTACCTCATCTTATAGAAAACTATCTTGGTGGGAGACTGACTTCCTCATCTTATAGAAAACTAGCTTGGTGGGAGACTTGACTACCTCATCTTATAGAAAACTAGCTTGGTGGGAGACTTGACTACCTCGTCTCATAGAAAACTAGCTTGGTGGGAGACTTGACTACCTCATCTTATAGAAAACTATCTTGGTGGGAGACTGACTTCCTCATCTTATAGAAAACTAGCTTGGTGGGAGACTGACTTCCTCATCTTATAGAAAACTAGCTTGGTGGGAGACTGACTACCTCATCTTATAGAAAACTAGCTTGGTGGGAGACTTGACTACCTCATCTCATAGAAACTAGCTTGGTGGGAGACTGACTACCTCATCTTATAGAAAACTAGCTTGGTAGGAGACTGACTACCTCATCTTATAGAAAACTATCTTGGTGGGAGATTTGACTACCTCGTCTCATAGAAAACTAGCTTGGTGGGAGACTGACTACCTCATCTCATAGAAAACTATCTTGGTGGGAGACTGACTTCCTCACTTATAGAAAACTAGCTTGGTGGGAGACTGACTACCTCATCTTATAGAAAACTAGCTTGGTGGGAGACTGACTACCTCATCTTATAGAAAACTAGCTTGGTGGGAGACTTGACTACCTCATCTTATAGAAAACTAGCTTGGTGGGAGACTTGACTACCTCATCTTATAGAAAACTAGCTTGGTGGGAGACTTGACTACCTCGTCTCATAGAAAACTAGCTTGGTGGGAGACTTGACTACCTCATCTTATAGAAAACTATCTTGGTGGGAGATTTGACTACCTCGTCTCATAGAAAACTAGCTTGGTGGGAGACTGACTACCTCATCTCATAGAAAACTATCTTGGTGGGAGACTGACTTCCTCACTTATAGAAAACTAGCTTGGTGGGAGACTTGACTACCTCATCTTATAGAAAACTATCTTGGTGGGAGACTTGACTACCTCATCTCATAGAAAACTATCTTGGTGGGAGACTGACTTCCTCACTTATAGAAAACTAGCTTGGTGGGAGACTTGACTACCTCATCTTATAGAAAACTATCTTGGTGGGAGACTGACTTCCTCATCTTATAGAAAACTAGCTTGGTGGGAGACTTGACTACCTCATCTTATAGAAAACTAGCTTGGTGGGAGACTTGACTACCTCGTCTCATAGAAAACTAGCTTGGTGGGAGACTTGACTACCTCATCTTATAGAAAACTATCTTGGTGGGAGACTGACTTCCTCATCTTATAGAAAACTAGCTTGGTGGGAGACTGACTTCCTCATCTTATAGAAAACTAGCTTGGTGGGAGACTTGACTAACTCATCTCATAGAAAACTAGCTTGGTAGGAGACTGACTACCTCATCTTATAGAAAACTAGCTTGGTGGGAGACTTGACTACCTCATCTTATAGAAAACTAGCTTGGTGGGAGACTTGACTACCTCATCTTATAGAAAACTATCTTGGTGGGAGACTGACTACCTCATCTTATAGAAAACTAGCTTGGTGGGAGACTGACTACCTCATCTTATAGAAAACTAGCTTGGTGGGAGACTGACTTCCTCACTTATAGAAAACTAGCTTGGTGGGAGACTGACTACCTCATCTTATAGAAAACTAGCTTGGTGGGAGACTGACTTCCTCATCTTATAGAAAACTAGCTTGGTGGGAGACTGACTACCTCATCTTATAGAAAACTAGCTTGGTGGGAGACTGACTTCCTCATCTTATAGAAAACTAGCTTGGTGGGAGACTGACTACCTCATCTTATAGAAAACTAGCTTGGTGGGAGACTTGACTACCTCATCTTATAGAAAACTAGCTTGGTGGGAGACTTGACTACCTCATCTTATAGAAAACTAGCTTGGTGGGAGACTTGACTACCTCATCTTATAGAAAACTAGCTTGGTGGGAGACTTGACTACCTCATCTTATAGAAAACTATCTTGGTGGGAGATTTGACTACCTCGTCTCATAGAAAACTAGCTTGGTGGGAGACTGACTACCTCATCTCATAGAAAACTAGCTTGGTGGGAGACTTGACTACCTCATCTTATAGAAAACTAGCTTGGTGGGAGACTGACTACCTCATCTTATAGAAAACTAGCTTGGTGGGAGACTGACTACCTCATCCGTTAGAAAACTAGCTTGGTGGGAGACTGACTACCTCATCACATAAAAAACTAGCTTGGTGGCAGACTTTGATGACCACCTCATTCTATAGAGAACTAGCTGCAAGATCCGCTAAGTTATGAATAAATACACAAAGGACTTGTTGATTTGAAAATCTGTGCTTGATTGAGATGTGGAAGGCAGATGACGACGAAGAAAGAATGCACTTTAGCACAGCAGGCATTTTCTTGTTCAGCCACAGTGTTTGAATCATTGTATTATTAGAAGAATTGTTTGCTTGGTTGAGGACAGCTAGGTCAGTGTAGATAAGACTGTAAATAGAAAGTTTTCACAGAGCACTTTTCCAGCTATACTTTTGCAACCATGTATAGAACTAGTCAACTGTATAAACAGCTATAAGTTATAAATATAAAGATACCCAGCACAGTAAATGGCTTGGTTGTAGTTAAAATAATGTTTCAGGCACCAAAAACAGTATCCCTGAACATCAGTGCTTTGAAATCAAGAAGAAATTACAGAAGATTAAAAAAAAACAGTGCAGTGTTGGATTCAGATTGCAAAATGTGTAGGATTGGGGTAAATTGACGAGGGAAAGATACTGGTGAACAGAGGCAATGTTTGTAGCAAGGTGTCCTGATCTAGGTGAATGATGCATGAAGGGCAAAAAGTAACACACATCTTCTGCAACAGTATCAGGTAGTGTGTTATTTCTTCCATTGTTCCCTTCCAGATTACCTCCTGGCGGTTTGGCACCCTGAGATTACAGAATCTCAATCACTGTTCAAACTGTCTCTGCAGAAGCCCAAGCATGCTTTCTCTGGTTTCAGTGTTTATCACTAAAATATTTATTGCATCTAGAGATTTAGATCTAGAAAATTTAGGAATTTTCTTTATCTGTCTATTACCTTTATTTGTCTTAAATGAAATTTCATATGTTTAACATTATGACTGTCTCATGTAGGTTGAAGATTCTGGACTGGTTCAGTCACTGCAGTGTTCAGATTGGCGACTTTATGACTTACCGCATCAAAAATGATGACATTATCACCTCCATTGAGCCTGCCAAAGCCTATGACCCCAAGACAGCATTTATAAAAGATGCTGCTGTGAAAGTTGTACGGGACAATGATAACAAGAAACAGGATGAGCCTGTTACCAACTCTGTAAGTATATTACATTAACTGAGGCTAACTCAGTCAACTCAAGTGGAAAGTTCTGGTTGTTTGCCAACATCTGGACTTTAGTCATGTTCCAGATCTGGCTTATGTGATTGCAGACTTTTTGTTCCTCAATTCTCAGGCAGATGCACCCTGACTTCAAAGGAAAAAGCCAGCCCAATAAGTCAGTTTTTTCTGAAAGGCTTGTTGAGGGGTGCAGTAGGTCTATTCTTTCTCCCCCTTGAAAAACATGACAAAGTAATGTATATGCATGCGCGCTGTTTTCCTATGTGCGTATGTAATTACATAGCTAGATATCCAAGCATTAGTAGTCACTGCAACGGCGTAAAGGGCATGTGCAGCATAAATAATGATAAATGAGCTGTAATAAATTCTTAGTTGGTAGAGAAAATATGGGGAATATTCACAAACTGGTGTGTGCTGTGTGCAGAAGTTGTGCAGTCAGTAGGAGCAATCTTTAATGCTAAAGTCAAAGAGTTGAGGTTTCAAAATGTGGAGAGATGGAGCTATACATATCTATCAGCGTTGCTCTGTGCATTGTGCTACAGCTAGCACCTAGTACAGGGCTATTCAGCTGTTTACTCGCGGGCCAAAATGTTGAAAATGGGATTGTCGCGGGCCAAAATGTTGAAAATGGGATTGTCGCGGGCCAGTATCTTAAGCCCAAGGGTGGAAAGATTATTAACATACTACAACTGCAGGCCTATTCTGCAGTAATATAAATGAAACAGTGTTGTAAACCAATGTACAGCGTACTACAATTTCTTTTAATGATTTAATAATACTTACTTTTAATTGAAATACACGTATCAGCTGCTATTTCATCCAGAGAAAGGCCGCTTCTTTTTGGCTAATGTACATGATACATGCAGTGAAGCTCCTGTAGCTTTATTTTGTTGAGTACAAGTTCTGCTACTATGCTGATAAGCAGCAGTCAACAACTCGGCCTTTGATTTCCTAGCAGTGAAATACTGGATATGATTATTTTTCAAAATCTGCATTTTTCATTGTTAAATGATATTTCACGTTGTACTCCTTTACTGCCAACACACATTCAATGCATAGCAACCTCATTGGTTTTGAATTAGGCATAGTTGGTGAAATAAATAAATATTTGTCATTCATTGTTGAATGCACGATTTTCATATTCCCACTTTGCCCTCTTACTAGTACTAGCCATGGCATCAAGTATTTAACTAAATTATTGAAAGTAAAAATGAGATGTTTGAGAATGGCTGCGAATAAAACCAGAAGAGATCGAGTGAGAAACGATGTGATTACAAGAACTATTGGAACCATACCCATCGTTAAATTTATTGAGAAGCAAAGAATGAAATGGTTTGGTCACCTAATGAGAATGGAACCAACGATGCCAGCATCAAGAGCATACAACATGAAAATCGAAACAACAAGAGGCAGGGGAAGACCAAGAAGAAGATGGATTGAAGGAGTCACGGACAACTTGAGACTTCATAACATCACGGCATATGAAGCGACTGAGCGCGCCCTGGCTCGGTTGCCGATCATCTGATAGACTGCGACGCCTAGCGGCACAAGCAGATTTTGACAAAAGAAGAAGAAGATTGAAAGTAAATAATTTAAAGCACTGTTGCTTATTCGGTTTGTCACTACACAATCGCGTCCTGCAATCTATGTCTGCTTGTAACATGTGTGTGACAGGACGAAAAATCGGATTAAAAAATGTTATAACAAGATCACTAGCTGGTGTTCTGCAGTGTCCACTGTCACTAATGTTTGGTGTCGCGCCATGTCATTAGTCTATGTGTACTAGTGGTTACCATTAGGGAGAGGTTCTCGGTTATCTAAGCGCCAACAGTCTGGACCGGGCTGGTATTTTCATATGCCCTTCTGGCCAATAAATATCTCGCCTTCATTGGCTGTCCAGTGGAGCGGTTGCTTTCTTACCTGATACTTCTTTCCAACCTTTGGCTCCAAACAGGTCAGTTCTGCTATTTGAACTAACTTATACCCTGCACACAGTAAATCGAGAGGGCTGTGGAGGATTATGGAGAAATTTGGTTGCCCACACAAGTTCATCCAGATAGTGCGCCAGTTTCAAGATGGCATGCCAGCAAGAGTGCAGGATAACGGCGAACTGTCAGAGTCCTTAACTGTCACAAACGGAGTCAAACAGAGCTGTGTGCTTGCACCGTCACTGTTCAGTCTGTTACTTTCAGCCATGCTGACTGATGCCGTTGTAAATGATCACAATGTAATTGACATAAATTACCTGATGGATGGAAAGCTGTTCAACCTTTATGCCAACACTGAAGCGGATATGCAGCACAACATCGACAAATTCAGTTCTGCCTGTAGAAAATTTGGGCCCACCATCAACAAAGATAAAACTGTAGCCATGCACCAGCCAGCCCCATGGCAAAGATACATCGAGCCCAGTGTCACAGTGAATGGCTACAGAATAAATGTTGTCAGGAAATTTACTTATCTAGGCAGCATCCTTTCACATAGCGCCACAATTGATGACGAAGTAAATGCAAGGATCTCTAGGGCTAGCGTTGCCTTTGGCAGATTGTACAAAAATGTTTGGAACAGAAGTGGCAAAACCCTGCAGACAAAGTTTAAAGTATACAGAGCAGTTGTATTATCTACACTGCTGTACGCATGTGAAAATGGACTGTATACCAGTGCCAGGCCAGACAGTTAAACCACTTTCACACAGTCTGCCTAAAAAAACTAATGCAGATCAGATGGCAAGACAAAGTGCCTGATACCATAGTCATTGAGAAAGCAGCCATGCCCAGCATCCACACTCTACTGATGCAGTATCAAATTCGCTGGGCTGGTCACGTAGCACGCATGCCAGATAACAGGCTGCCAAAAAAAAAACCTCTTCTATGGTGAGCTACACAATAGGAAACGTTCCCAAGGCGGGCAAAAGAAACACTTTAAGGACACCTTGAAGTCATCACTCAAAGCATTTGGGATGAATGCCACCAATTGGGAAGCTGCCTGTCAAGACCGAAATGCATGGCATACAACATACACAAGGGCGCGGCTACATGTGAAGCAAACAGAACAGCAAGACAGATTAAGAAAAGGATGGACAGAAAAGAAATTGCAGGAGATCTCATCCCTGGCACAACACTCATTCCCTGTCCTCACTGTCCAAGAACTTTTCGGGCCCGCATCGGTCTCATCAGTCATCTTCGTACTTATACTTGATGGAAAAGAGTGGTCCTCATCATCTTGATGGACAACACTCACACCCTGAACTAATTACATTTTCTGTTCCTATGCTGGTGCCCTTTTATCTACGCATTTAAAGATTAATGACAAACATTTCCCATTGACACATTCGTCACAACTGGTATTTGAAGATTTATACAGAAATATTGATTGATTTAAATCTTTTTATTTTTTTATTCTAATAAGTACATTTTAGTGGCAACACTCAGTGGGCCACTTGTTAGGCCTCGGCAGGCCAGATTTGGCCCGAGGGCCGCCAGTTGAATAGCCCTAACATAGTATATGTGATAGGGCACTATTATTCCTCTGCATCATCCCTTCAGACAGTAAGGTACTGTACCCAGAATGAAGAATGGCTGCAATAGATCTCCAGTACTCTTTATCTCAGCCTATTTGTACACATTCTCAGACAGTAGAATAAAGAACATATGCAGATTTAAACAAAATTAACACCAGAGCTATGAAAGTCCCATGCAAATGCACAGTAGGGTAATTGTTGATACACATGTGGATATGAATCAAATGGACACAGGTTAATGGAAGACAGTATTTATAATTCTAGTGTGAGACATAACAGCAGCAGAAGGCCACACCAAAAACCTTAACAGCAGCACAAGGAAAATATATTCTACCATTGGATTAATGGGTGTTTTTTTTTTTTAATAGTAAAAGATAACAGTTTTCACCAACATTAAAGATCAGATGAACACAAAACGGATTACTAGACAAAATACAGTTGTGTTATTTATTTAACTGATGATAATTTGTTAATTACTAAATGGTTTTTTCTGAGTTAATGCATGTTTATGTTTTAATGATTTCTTTTTGATCACTCAATCTTCAAGGTGACAAGTGGTACATCCATAGACAAAGAAACAGATGATGGTGATGATGCAGATTTCGAGGATGTTGATGATGGAGACAAATCTTGTCTGCTTGAGAAAAATGGTGCCAGTGGGGGCAGAGGTACTGGTGGTGGACATGGGGGGCGGAAACGCAGCAGGGTTGTGAAGAGCTTCGGACAGCGGCAGAAATCAGGGAAGCAAGGGCACAATCAGAAAACTAACAATAAAAAACAACGAGCTGTTAAGGAATGTTCCTTCAAACCTGATGAAGTGGTACAAGTGGAAGTGGAATTCACAACATCATGGGCAGCAGTTATGTGGCAGGTAATGTTTCCGTTATCTTTTCAGGAATTCACTTATTTCAACATTAGACGTCTTAGTTGAAAGATACTATAGTGTCAGAAATAGACCCAGCCTTACGTCTCTTTAATTAATTCAACATGTAGAATTATTACTGGATTAGTGACTGACAACATTTGATAATGTTTCCTGTTACTAGTCACATATTTTAATACTTTTTCTTTAACCATATTACATTTCATACATTCAGTGTCACATAAAGTCATTCCACATTTCCTGTCTTCTTGATCGCTCTTTATCCACTTAAGAAATATAGGCCCTCTACCAACCCATGCAAAATCAGCCTATCTTTTGCTTTTGTATGTAGTTCTCATACCATTCACATGCACTTCATGCTTTAATTCCCTTCTCACAGAGTTTAAAAAAATTATATTTCTTCCTTTATTCGTTTGACCCTGTGGGGCCCAGTGCAAGGACAGTCTAATTATATTGTTTTCAGGTTTTACAAGTGTGTTCTATCCAACACTATTGTTTTCCCCCCTCACCTTGATTCACTGGAATTTGTTTCCTTGTCTCCTGAAGCTCAATATTAGGGATTCCATCATACTATTAAATTCTTTCTGTTGTGCATGTCTGCAGATGATGAGTGTATGTAGCTAATTAGTAAATGTTCTCCATGTTGCAGCTCCACACAGCAGTACTGATTTGACATTAGAACTAAATATTCTAAGTTTGTAGTTAGCCTTAATTCTCAATGGCTTTCGCAGATTTCCCTGTATTCCACATTGCATCTGTCTGTGTGTTTTTTGTTTTGCGGGAAATATTAGTGTTGTTATTTGTTAATTTTCATACTGCTTTTCTTCTTTTTGAATAACGAAAAAGGCCTTGCTTTCAAAGGAATGATATTATTACTAGATTTAGTTGCCCCGCTTCACCCCGGATTGTAAAACTGGGTGGTCAGCAGGTGCCACGGCAGTGGAAATTCAGTAATTAATTCAAGATAATGCTCGCTCAGATAATGTGATTATTTATACAAGTGGTTCATTCTCAAGAAGCTTTCTTAGCAAAAGCGGTTCTCCTAAAAACTACGGCCACTTATTATGTAGTACGCCGGAGTTCAGTCCCCTGGCCGCATTGCACTTACGGAGTGGACAAGAGAGAACAACACAAATGACGTAATTACCGTGTGTTTGCGATAGATGCACTGCTGTCATAATAGGGTTAGGGGTAGGGTTAGGAGTGGCCGTAGTTTTAAGGAGTACCAATACCCTAACCCAAACCCTAACCCTATTATGACAGCAGTGCATCTATGGCCAACACACAGTAATTACCTCATCAGTTCACGCTGTCTATCGCCAACACAGTAAGTACGTCATTGGTTTCGTTCCCTCTTGTCCACTCCGTAAGTGCAATGCGGCCAGGGGACTGAACTCCGGCGTACTCCATAATAAGTGGCCATTGTTTCAAGGAGAACCGCAAAAGCTAATGGTCAACGTTTGGTATAGGAGAGCCTAGCATATGATAATACAACATCCAGCTTAAGAATAAAGGTAGAGGTGGTCATGCTTCATGCAGAGTGGCATGCTTCATTTTGTATGTCACGGGCGAGGAGCATTTTCTGGATCTTTTCTTTGGGGTATGTTGATGTGTCGGGAAATAGACAGGTTGAGTGACTGACTGGATTACCATAGTCTGGTATGAGTGATGCAGCGGGGAGCGATGAAGGGATGTGGCCGACACTTGGTCCTCAGAGGAAAGGCAAGACGGATGTATAATCAGAATGCTAATGGCACCATTGGTATTAGAACTCTGATGTGCACTCTGCTGAAGATGAGGACGAAGTGCTTATGGAAGTACCCTGATTGCTGTGATGTGGGTTCTTGAATTAACACAACTCAGCTAAGTTAAAGAAAACATTGTCCCGTCCTCTGCTTGACTTTGTCTCCACTGCTGCCATATGTTTGGTCATTGCCCCTAACTGCCCCAAACGATTTCACTGTCCCCTAAACCGTTGAACCACTGAAAATATGCAGACAAACTGCAGGCAGGCATTTTATGCTTTATAGTTTAGATATAATACACCCATGTACGCATTTATGCCAAACTGCATACCCGCACAACACCGGTCTGGAGAGCGTCATTAGTCAGTTTGAAATGTGTTTTTTTAGTGTATGTTATGTGTGTACAAATAAATCTACAAATCACCGTTTTTCACATCACAATTAAGAAATTACAATTTGTATTTTCCTTTAAGGATGGAACAGTGGAAAAGGATATTCCTTCTTTAGAACTATTTCCAGTGCACCATTTAGATGATTTAGAGTTTTTTCCTGGGGACTTTGTTCTTTCTACTGTAGGTAAGTTACAGCACTAATATTAGTCATTACATCTGTTGTTTTCAGTGCAGAGAATTTATTTGTGTTAGTTTAGTTGTGTGGTTTGGTCTTGATTTTGACATGCTTTATGCACTAGTTGGCATTTGGTTGACAGGAACTGTCTGTTGGGACCTCAGCTGTACATCGTTGTTGTGGTCTCCAGCAGCACATAATCTGTGGTGATGTGGTTAAGACATTGCCTCATGCTTTGAAGGTTGGGGGGTGGGGGTTGGCTTTGGACTCACAAGTACTGGCATCTCTGAAGGTTGTTGCTGGAACCTTAGTGTTTTGTGCTTTGTTCAACGCTCTTGGCAAGTGAGTAGTCCCTCTGAGAAGTGAAAGGGACTGTCCCCATATGGGTTAAAACAGGAGTGAGTTAAATTATTTCTCTCACCTTTTAACACCCTTTCTACTAGAGATACTGTTGATGTTATGTATATGGGAATGTCCCAGCCTATACTGTGAAAGGAACTACATGGTGACATTGCCAAGAATTACTTTACCTTTCCCTCAGCAACCTTGGCAAAAATAATTGGCATTAAAACACAGTTAATTGATCAATCAGTTTGTCATTAAGGATGCTGCCTTAAGGTTTACTATACTATTTTAAGATTTATAAAAAATTTCAATCTGAATGGCAGACCAACAAGGCAGATCCCAGATACCCCTTTCAGCCTATAGAGAAGGTATAAATAGTTACAGCACCCATAACGGCTACATCAACTAGGTGTCACCAGCAGTCTTATGTGGGTAAAGACTATGAAAACACAAGATTAGCTCTAGTTTTATAAATGTCTATAAAACAAGTTACGCTCATAGTATCAATTATTAACAATATTGCACTAGCCTAGTGCTGCAGAAGTGTTTTTGCAAGCTTGTAATATGTGACAGCTTTCTTCATAGAAAGTATTTGGCCTCTCTTGCTGGGAACTGTTCCACGCTAACTTTCGAGTACCTGTGAAGAAATACTATTCAGACCGACAGTATTTTACCAACAGCAAGAACAAGTTAAAGGGGGTTTGGCCATACAAGAACACTTTGCAGGAAGCTAAAGAAGAATAAGAAACCAACACAGAATGGGTGTCATCAGCCACTACACGCTGCAGGATACTGATGAGTGATCATAGCACTTGTGCACCTATTTTTCGGTGTGCAGTGGGGATATCTGTTCACTAGCTAACAGTATTTTACCAACATTACCAGTGCCAAATGGGGACATTAACATCAAAAGTAAAAACGAAACATCAGTACAGCGGAAATGAAATATATATGATGAATCTTCATTTTAACTAGAAGAGACAGGATCAGAAATGACAATATCAGGAAAGAAGGCTGTATGGAACCAGTACTAAACTATATGAAGAGACTACAGATTAAATGGTTTGGACATGTGTCAACACTACTACCAGATAATGCACTACAGAGAGTCTTGTCCCTCGGACATAATGGAAGCAGGTCTAGAGGTCGACCATACAAGCAGTGTAAGACCGTAAATACCATCATTTGCCTAGCACATACCAAGGCTCATACCTGACACTTCTTCAAAACCTGATGCTGAAAGGCAGAATATGATTAAAGAAGAAGACGATGAAACTATCAGAACTGAAAAGCTGACCTGTTGATGGGCCGACAAATGCATCTTGAATTATTGTAGCCTTTGAAATATTTAATGATGAATCACTCTAGCTCATTTAAGGTAAATTATAGTTTCTTCATGACCAAGATCAGAAACAGGTTGCATAGTAAAACAAGACATGAATTGCATACTAAATAGAACATATTATCCAAATATTGTCTACTTGAAAGTTTTAGATTTTTATATTTCTCTCTAAAACCTTATCTATATATGGTTGTCTTCTTCCTATGCTTTAATTGAAACTGGAAAACAGTTAACGGTAATGTTTTTTGATCTGAACAAAATATTGATTCATGTTTGGTTGGATTTCTTTTATTCGTTCTTTGGGGTGTGGTATCCTGCTCCCACAGCAAGACGGCCTTCTAATTGACTCTCACAACATGCTCGGTACATGGTGCTGTTACTATTATTTGGTTTCCTTACAGACCCCACTAATATGCAGGTGACTTTATATTTGTAACGTTCATTTAGGCCTCCCTAAATACATTGTAAGCTTAAATTTGTAACAAGAGTTGTTGCAGAGTTATGATTGTTTTTTAACATTTTGTTGCAGACCTTCCAGAGCCAGCTGATTATGGTGTTGTTGTGAAAGCCGACCATGCTGAAAGGACCTGTTTAGTGCATTGGATGAAAACATATGAAGTGGGCAAAGCCACTGCGTGAGTTCACTTACCCCTCCCCCCTTTTTTTATTTGTTTATTTCTCCTCTCCCCCCCAATTATTCTTCTCTTTTTATATATTTGTTTTCTCTCCCTTCTTCTTTTCTTAATTATTTTTTCAGCTTTTCAAGAATTCAAAATGTTGTGAAAATAGAGTAGAAAAATAGTTAGATGCAGATCCCAAAGAACTCCACAGACCAACCTCAGCATTATTGGTTGTTTTGTAATTTTTTTTAGGCAATTTACTGTTGAGTGGTTTGCCATTGCTTTCTGAACAGTAGAAGCTCATACCTTTGTCAAAGTCAGTAAAAAGTATATCACTGCCAAATCAGCTGCTCCTGACCTTGAACCCTGGTATGTTGGGACTTAAAAAAAAATTTATGTTACTATGACTGTCTCACAAATTACCCATGTAAATTGGTAATCCTCTCAAGTAAAGTAACTGGTAACTTTTGTTCTTAAGAATCTGGGAAGGCTAACCCATTGAACAAATGTCAGATAAAATTTACTGTGTCAGCTGAAGGCACAAACATCACAGCTCTGCTGTGAACAGGCACAACACAAATTATGTCTCTCAGACAACGAAGATAAAGAAGATTTGTAAATGAAACTATATAGTTTGATAACTGCTCTTCCTTAGTGTAATTTTTATGATTGACCTTGGCTTCCAGGTCAACCCAGCCTGAAATGAGTACAAGAGAATGTCCTGGGACGTAAATTTGGCTAACATGATATGTACCACATCTGTCACTGAGAGCTAATTGATCTGTAAACATTGCAGTAGTACCATTTACCCAGTACAATGACTGTGAAAAGGTTCCTAACAATAGACATTGTTTGTAACAGTTGTTAATTATACACTGTTTAAATGTGTGTTTGTACAGTTGTTAATTATACACTGTGTAAATGTGTGTTTGTACAGTTGTTAATTATACACTGTGTAAATGTGTGTTTGTACAGTTGTTAATTATGCACTGTTTAAATGTGTGTTTGTACAGTTGTTAATTATGCACTGTGTAAATGTGTGTTACTAGCCGCCGTGGTGGAGCGGCTAGACGCTCGCCGCAGATTGGCGGTGCCTGACTTTTTTCAAAAATGACCTTGGCTCCCAGGTCGACCCAGCCTTGAGTGGGTACCTGGTCCTGTCCCGGGAAGTAAAGGCGGCCGGCGTGATGCTGACCAGATCACCCATCTTGTGCCAATTGGTCTTTTAAATTTAGGTCTAGCCCTGTATGCCCTCTACACCTAAAGGCGTAGAAAAGGGTCCTTTAATTTTTTTTTTATGTGTTTAAAAAGATTTTAATTATTCACTATTTAAATGTGTGGTTATAACGGTTTTTAATTATACACTGTGTAAATGTGTGTTTGTAACGGTCTTTAATTATACACTGTGTAAATGTGTGTAGTCTTTAATTATACACTGTAAATGTGTGTAGTCTTTAATTATACACTGTGTAAATGTGTGTAGTCTTTAATTATACACTGTGTAAATGTGTGTAGTCTTTAATTATACACTGTGTAAATGTGTGTAGTCTTTAATTATACACTGTGTAAATGTGTGTAGTCTTTAATTATGCACTGTAAATGTGTGTAGTCTTTAATTATACACCGTAAATGTGTTTAGTCTTTAATTATACACTGTAAATGTGTGTAGTCTTTAATTATACACTGTGTAAATGTGTGTAGTCTTTTATTATACACTGTGTAAATGTGTGTAGTCTTTTATTATACACTGTGTTAATGTGTGTAGTCTTTAATTATACACTGTGTAAATGTGTGTAGTCTTTAATTATGCACTGTAAATGTGTGTAGTCTTTAATTATACACCGTAAATGTGTTTGGTCTTTAATTATGCACTGTAAATGTGTGTAGTCTTTAATTATACACTGTGTAAATGTGTGTAGTCTTTAATTATACACTGTAAATGTGTGTAGTCTTTAATTATACACTGTAAATGTGTGTAGTCTTTAATTATACACTGTGTAAATGTGTGTAGTCTTTAATTATACACTGTGTAAATGTGTGTTTATAACGGTCTTTAATTATACACTGTGTAAATGTGTGTTTATAACGGTCTTTAATTATACACTGTGTAAATGTGTGTTTATAACGGTCTTTAATTATACACTGTGTAAATGTGTGTTTATAACGGTCTTTAATTATACACTGTGTAAATGTGTGTAGTCTTTAATTATACACTGTAAATGTGTGTAGTCTTTAATTATGCACTGTAAATGTGTGTAGTCTTTAATTATACACTGTGTAAATGTGTGTAGTCTTTAATTATACACTGTGTAAATGTGTGTTTATAACGGTCTTTAATTATACACTGTAAATTTGTGTAGTCTTAAATTATACACTGTGAGAATGTGTGTTTGTAACAGTTGTTAATTATACACTATGTAAATGTGTGTTAACAGTTTTTGGTCCTTATCACAATTTTGGGCCCTGCCCCGTCCATTTACACACTACACAACTATTCATTCAAACTTGGCCAGCTGAGTCGACTTCTGCAAAGAATATAGGGTTATTTCCTTGGCTGTGTCCAATGGGCATCATTTTACGACACACGTTTACTACCTCACGACATCAAGAACTCACTTTCCCGTGATGCGACCTCTTTACAACAGCAAGTTAGCGATTTTAACAACCACATAAAATCTGCCAAGTCCTAGTCACGACAAACTTAACCTACGCCCGCCGAGACAGAGCATTCTACGTTTCGCTGCAGACACGTTACTCTACCATCTGTAATAAATTCATTTCCTAAGCAAAACTCTAGACAGCTGTCATGTACCCACCAACAGACACTAATACTATATACTAAGTCTCTCAGAAAGGCCACTGTATACCTGTCCGCACTCCAACATATGAACACGAGAGAAAACTCACACCCCTGCTTCTTAGACGTGACTGACAGCTTCAGGCGGATACTCAACCATCCAATCTGTGTCCTGGCCCGCCTCCCTCATTCATAACTGTGTATATGAGTGGGGGGAAGGGGGTGAGGTGTCAGGGCCAAAATTGTGAGTAGTTCCCAGTTTTTAATTATACACACTGTAAATGTGTTTTTATTGTACACTGTAAATATGTGTTGATAACAGCTTTTATTGTTCACTATAAATATGTGTTGATAACAGTTTTTATTGTACACTGTAAATATGTGTTAACAGTTTTTAATTGTACAGTGTGAAAATATATGTTGATAACAATTGTTAATTATTTACTGTACATGTGTGTGTTGTTGACAACAGTGGTCCTGAAATCTTATGCTATAATTATGGAAGACTTTTCTTGACACAGGCAGGTCTTGCTAGTCACACTCGCCATCGCCATGGGCTGTGAGTCCCATAGCGCAATATAACACTATTGTCTGGAAGGACGGAAAGGTGCCAATCATACGTGTGTTTATCTTGAGTTATTCATACAGGGTTCGTAGTGGACCGGGAAATCGTAGTGGACCGGGAAATCGGGAAATTACCGGGATTTTTTTCGTTGACCTTGAACCGGGATTTTTAGCTTATAAAAGACATTCCGACCTTGAAAAGCCGTGAATTTTTTTGACCGCGGCAATGAAATCATCAGAAATCCTGTGTTTTTTTAGCACAGGCAATTTTTGGGGAGCCATTTGGCTTTTTTGGCCATTTGGCTAGTTTTTGGCTACTTTCGTTGTATGGTCGTTTCAGGTATGAGGGCAGCTGATTATTGGCTATTTTCAGCCGAAATGGCTTGTTAAAGGCCAGGGGAGGGCGGGCTGTGTTGCAGATCATGAATACATGCAGACAGCAGCGGTGTGGCATGGGGCGGGAAGTAGCAGCTTCCGTCTTGTGTGTGTGTGTGTGTGTGTGTGCCTTTGTTTCTAGCAAGTTGGGCAGAATGAACAGTATAAATCGTTTATGGCCGTGGTTTCTAGAAAGGATTACATTGGGAGATGGTGGGGCTCGGTTCAGTTGTATTTATAAATAGAGTCGCTAAGCTAAGTGACCGTCAGCTGGATTTCCCAGTTCTATTTTTGGCCTGGATTTATCTTTACAGTGTGTTTCGCGATCAGTATTGTAATTCCTAGAGATTCCCTCTTCTGTTGTCTCACCCCTCTCTCTCTCTTCCCTCCCTCTTTCACTCTTCTACCTATTGCTCCTTCCTTCCTGTCTCCTGCATTGTCTCTAACCCTCCCTTCTGATCTTCATCTTCTTCTCTTTCTCTCTATCTTTCCTTTTACTCTCTCATTTCCTGTCCCCCTCCCCCTTTTTCCTATTTTATTTCTTGTTTAAATGTTTAGTAAATGTGCGGCTCCATAACTCTTCCTAGCAACTCAAGTACACAGGAAGTTGTATTGGGGGGGGGGGGGGGGGTGGGTGGCATTCTGTGTGAACATGGTGGATATTTTCTTTTGATGTGTTTGTTTTCCTAGCTGGCCTTAATCTCTGTCCATCTCCCTTCCCGCCCCCTCACATTTTGTCCTACCTGTTCCTCACTCTCTGCTTGTCTGTGTCACTGCTTTCCTCTTTCTCTTTGTATTTGCCACTCTCCCTCACTCCCTCCCTCTCTCTCTTTCTTTCTCCATACCTTCAGTTGGTGTAGAAGGTTAAGTGTTGCCTAGTGCAGAACATTTCATGTCCACCATTCCCCCTCCCTCCCCACACACACATTAAATATATGTGTACTTTTAAAAACACATTTGCCGTCACCCCCCATCCCCCCTTTTCTCCTCCCACATTGATGACACCTAGGGGAGCGAGTGCACCCCTTCCTGCTACCTTCTTCCCTCTTTATCTCATCTTATTTCTTACTCCCTTCTTTCTCTCCCTGTCTCATTCCCACTTTATTTTCTTAAACTTTATTCTCTCACCTCCTCTGTCTCACCCTTACCACCTCAGCCTTCTACGTCACTTTCCACCACCTCCTGTCTCCCCTCCTTTCTGTAATTGGAAAACCAGAAATAAAATGAAGTCCACTGCTGCCCTGACCTATTTATGTGTCTGACCTATTTATGTGTGTGGGTAAATTTCTCTATTTTCCGCCAGTGGTAGGTTGGGATCCCCTGGACTTTCTTTTTCTTCATAAAATGACCTTGGCTCTCAGGTCACCAGCCTTAAGTGTAAGAAATTGAATTATTGTTATCACACACAGATAGGACAAGCAAGGGGCAGTAGGGGTTAGCACTGTTGTTTTTGGACCACGGCCACATTCACATTGGGAGAGGGTAGGAACCGGAAAAGTGGCCTCACTTAGAGATTTCCTAATTCTATTTTTGGCACTCATTGTTCTTACACCCCCCCCCCACAACCGTGTCTTACCTTTCTTCTCTCACCCCTTCTCTTTCCTTTGATCTTCTACTATTCTCCTTTCTCTCTCCATTCTTCCTCTCTTCCTTTCTTTACCCTTTCTCCTGTCCCATCTCTTCTTTGTCTCCTCTCCATCCTGTCTTTTCATTTTCTTTAGAAATCCTTACCCGCTCCCCTCTCTCATTCCCCCCCCCCCCCCATTTTTTTACTGGTTCATCTACGTATTTTTTTTTGCCCCATAACTATAGTGGTTGTGTCCACTACACTTGAAATTGTGGGGGGGGGGGGGGGGGGGAGTAGGTGGCTGTTTTTTTTTTCTTTGATGTTTCTTGTCTCCCTTCCTGCCCCTCTCTCTTAATCTGTGTTTGTCACTGCCTTCCTTACCCACCTCTCTCTCTCTCTCTCTTGCTTTATGTCTGTTTGCCTCCCTTCATCATTTCCTCTTTGTATACCTCCCTCCCATTCTCCTGCTCTGCCTTTTTTCTCTTTCTTTGGTTCTCTCCCTGTCTGCTTGCCTCTTTGTGCTGTCCCTTTGTCTCTCTCTCCTTTATGTCTACATCTCTCTCTGCTTGCATCTGTTTCTCTCCCTGTCCGTTCTCTCTCCCTCTGTCTCCCTTCTTTCAACTCTTTGTCATATTTTCCTTCTTCCATATCTCTGTTTCGTTCCATTTTTCCTTCTTATTTCATCTGCCCATCTCTGTATCTGCATTCCCTCTTTCTGTATTTGTCTCCCTCTCTGTCTTTCGCTGTCCCTTCCCCACTTTTCCTCATCATGTCTCCATCCCTCCCTCTCATTTTTTCCTCCTTCCCCAGACTTCTTTTCCTTCTTTTCTCTACCTTCATCTGTCCATCTTTACACTGTCTCTCCCAGCCTACCTCAGCATGTGTCTTCCTCTCTCTTCATGACTCTCTCTCCCCTAACCCTCTCAGGTACCAGGTCCAGAACAGACAGGACTTCAGTTTGCTGCCCTCTACCACCAAGCCCTAAAAAAAATTTCAAACACTATATCAAGCTCAGGGGCCAACCAACACGAAGATGGGCACAGGATATAAGTGACTCCTTGAGTATAAAAAAGTACATGAGGCGGGAGAGCTGGTGAGAGACCGAGGTTTTTTTGTCAGGACAAAGGAAATGCTACTTGATGATGATATCTGTGCTGGTATACCAACACATGTGGCACAAATGAAGTACCTTGTGTGCTCAGTACACCCTTGAACAAGGCAAAAATATTGTTTCAGTATTACACCGAGACAACCTTGAAAAAAACTAAGGAGACCTTGAAAAAGACCTTGAAAAGCCTTGAAATTGATTGGTAAATTTGGCTATGAACCCTGTTCATACTTTTACCCAAATGCATACACACAACCACTTTAATGACTGCCAGGAAACCATTTATGTCACATTTCTTCATTGCATTGCATGCTTTGTCTTTTATTGTCACACATTCTATGACCAGTTTTGTATCTCTCACAGACCAACAATTGTTGCCAGCAATTGTGAAGTGAGTGTGTACGACATCTCAGATCATCCTGATTACAAGTTCCGACCCGGCCAAAGCATTGTTCGTGTGGGCGGCTTTGAGCACCTGCCAACGGTAAGAATATTTTGAAGAATGCATATTACAAAATTTATTTCACAAAGAAAGTAAAACATGCAGTGCTCGTATTCATTCCATAGCTCTGCTAAAATGATGCTCTTGTTTTGTTTTCATTTCAGGAACCAGGAACGCCCTTGCAGGCTGTTGGTCAAATCTTTGAAATGGATGCTAATGGTCACCTTGTGGTCAAGTGGGCTGATGGATCTATTAGCCAGTGTTATCCACAAGAAGTGTACATTATATCTGAGGATGTAAGTGATCACGTCATACAATTTGTCTTTAGCCATTTGTGCACCTTTAACTTTTCATAAGTTAAAAAATAGCGTCAGTAGAGCATCACACATTATAAGTAGAGCCGTTATTAAAGATATGTCAACGTCTGGTCTGTGCACTTTTGTTTGATCAAGTTACTCCAGATGCATTTTAGCAAGTGCATAGAATCTTGCAGTAAAAATACTTTTTTTATCAGCAAAATCTGGGTTCTCAATAAATGTTTGTTGGGAATGCCTTTCATTTGTGCAGCTGTTGAGTCCTGGTATATAGTATGACCAGTAGCCGGTTCATATGTGGGCTGGTGAAATACCCTATGAAATGATTCATGTGTATAGCCAATTGATCATGCCTGACTACTTTTATCAGCGACAAACAAACTGTATTTCTGTTGGCGATTGTTTGGTGCCTCTAGCAACTGCCATATGCATTTACTGTGTGCACATGTTTCTGGATTGTGCTGGGACTAATTGTTTATTCACAAGTTTTTCAAATGGGACAGTGAGAGACATTTCATGGGATTTTCACTGGCACAGGAACAGAGCAGGTATGGTGTGACCCGATTGCTGTGAAGTTGAAACCTCGACTACAGCTAAGAATTAACATATATTTCCTTCATCTGAGCAACTACATTCTTTCCTAGCTCAGACAGTTTGTCTTATTTCATTTTCAAGAACGTGAGATGCTTCCAGTATGAGTAGACATTGGGAAGTTACATTTTGCAGTGGTCTTTGGTGGGGTAGGCATAACATACAAGATTTTCTTATAAATCAGTAGCATGCTGAAGATTTAGTGAACAGCATAAAAGCAAAACGTAGTGTGCTACAACTATAAAACCTTCTGTTTGTAACCTGGCTAACATATGCAGCTGCTCTGCAAGAAAGTTTATTTGGTGTCAGTTACTTCTTCAGTTGTCCCATTAGAAGTTCATTGTTGTTCTGCAGCACTTTTCAAATTGCCTCCTGCTTCTTCCATTAAATTTATGAAGCTAGGTATTGAATTGTACTGCAGTCCTAGGCATTGTAGTGGATTACAAAATTTTCAAGCTGTGACCATCTGACAAGTTTATTGTTGTCGACAATCCATTTAAGGTCTCTGTCACTAACCTTTTTGAGCAAATACTTGTATAGTCATATCAAGTTACTTATACTGACACTTATGGATAGTGCACTGTCTGATTGTATAACATAAAAAAACAATGCTTGCTAAAGCTCCATCTACAGAAGTGTATTTCCAATTTGTTTACACTGTCCTTTCAGTTTGTTTCCTATCTGTGACTCCAGATCTTAAAAAGTTGTAATAATATCTGAGGACAGCCATTTATTTTTTGATCATTAATACTGTTAGTATGTGATACAGGTTCCTCTGGAGTCTTGTGAGGGTCTGGTACTTTCTGTATATTTAGCAGATACAATAATACTACACTGGTTTTCTCAGGTGTCCAATTTTTCTGTGGAACTAATGATAGCCATCTTTCTCTTAAAACTCAGCATCTGAAGGAAATTTGAACACTCAGATATCCTCTCTGAAAGTATCATAATTTGACCTACAGCCAAGCACTGAACATTTTTCAGGCATTGTTAATAACACTTAACACGTCACAACAGCCTATTTTGAAAATGTAAATAGAAAGCAAGGTAAACTACACACATACAAAAATGGCAGTTCCACTATTCACTTCACTCCAAAAAACTACACACATATGTTAGCCTCCGCATTCCAGCTGACCGGACATTATCCTATAAAAGAGACACTAAAACTGGCATTCATGAGTCTCAAGCGTAGCAGCTTTGTCTTTTGGGGGAAAAGACTTAGAAGACAGTGTCAAGCAGATCTACTAATGAGAACAATACTGCTGAAACCTACCCTATACCCCATACCTTGTTAGCAAGTCAGCGACAGTACAGATAATTACTTAAGTCAGTGGACTCACAGCTGGAGTCCAGTGACCTTCAAAAACTAACAGCTGCTCTTAGCATGATTCAGGAAACCTATTATTCGGAACAGTCCTGGATCCATGCTTAAACAGATGGACCAGCAACCAGTGCAGTTAAAAAATGGGGGTGCTGGCATCCTTATCACATACCCAGACAACCATCACCCTACAAAGTATGCACCTACTGGTAAATTCCGTTCCAACTACACAGCAAAGGTCATATCACTAGAGCAGGCTGCTGAAATGTTACACAACACCAATTCTGACTGCGACCAAGTGGTCATATTCACAGATGTGCTATCGGTGCTTCAAGCCTGCAAGAGTGGTAAACTTCCTCACTTGAGATCTGAACTTGGCAAGGTGGCTGCCCAAAAGTGTACTGTAATCCAGTGGGTGCCATCCCACTGTGGTATACCAGGAAATGAAACCGCAGATAAACTTGCTAGGAAGGGGCAGAATGTGAACAGGAAGAGAATGCAGTAACATATTATGAGAAGAAAAGTGCCGTCTAGTATATGAGAAGTGAACAGAGTCTGGCCAGAGGTGACTACCACTTATTTGACCGGCAGGGGCAGGTCATTATTCTACGCCTCAGGACAGGACATAACAAACTTAACCAGCCAATGCACAAGCTACGTTTTAGTAGTTCACCATTGTGCCTGTGTGGACTGTGTGTGCAGACTACAGAACATGTCCTGCAAGAGTGTCCCTTGTAGAGCCCATTAAGAAAGGATTACTGGCCCACTGAGTCAACACTGCACTCAGAGCTGTAAAGAACTAAAAGGGAAGTCTTAAAAACAATCAATTTTATCACAAGAACTTGTCTGTCAGTGTAAATCAGAAAACGAACACAAGAAGAAGATCTTTATCCCAACTCCTGTAGTTTCTGTTTGGTAGATACTACTAGTGAATACTTCACTGCTTCGTATTTGAGTAACACATGCTAAATTTTGTCAGCTTCCATGTCTGATTGTTAGTTCCCTTAATAAACACTTCCATGTCTGATTGTTAGTTCCCATAATAAACAAATAGATAATATCAGTGATGTGACTCTAAGTGATGCCAGCTGATTGTTAGTTCCCATAATAAACAAATAGATAATATCAGTGATGTGACTCTAAGTGATGCCAGCTGATTGTTAGCATAATCATCGTGTACAAATGGATGCTGTCAGCTGTGATGTGCAATTATTGGCTGACCCTTTTTGTTCATAAGGATGATCCTTTATGTAGATTTAGATGAAATCAGTAGTGATGTGAAGTTTTGGCTAAACGTTCATTTACAGATGGATGATGTGAGTGACAATAGTGTTGAAAGCTGGGCATCCGAATCTGAGTATGAGACGGATGGGTCAGGTGAGATCTGGGAAACAGAATCAGAGAATGAGATCATTGGTGAAGACAGCGATGATAAGTAAGTATTGAGAGGTTTATATTGAGTGTTTGTTACATTCAATAGCGTCTGGCCAAATAATTAAGAATACATGGCTCTTTTTCTGTCAGCGGCAAAAATAAAATCCTAACCAGCACAGTCCATGGCGACATCACTAGCCATGTGGCCCTAAATCTTCAGACTCAAAGACACTCAACCCCCCCCCCCCCCCTTTTTTTTTTTCCTTTTCCAACCAACACTGCAGAGGTGCTAAACAGACAGTAATACAGTTTTTAATGTTTAAATAATCTCTGCCATTGCCAGTCCCAAGTCATCTCTGCCATATTAGACCAAAGCCATCTTTGCCACTGTAGACCTAAAGCCATCTTTGCCTTTGTAGGCCCAAGCCATCTCTGCTATTGTAGGCTCAAAGCTATGTCTGCCATTGTAGGCCCAAAGCCATCTCTGTTATTGTAGGCCCAAAGCTATGTCTGCCATTGAAGGCCCAAGCCATCTCTGCTATTGTAGGCCCAAAGCTATGTCTGCCATTGTAGGCCCAAAGCCATCTCTGCCTTTGTAGGCCCAAAGCCATCTCTGCCATTGTAGGCCCAAAGCCATGTCTGTCATTGTAGGCCCAAGCTATCTCTGCTATTGTAGGCCCAAAGCCATCTCTGCCATTGTAGGCCAAAGTCATCTCTGCCATTGTAGGCCCAAAGCCATCTCTGCCATTGTAGGCCCAAAGCCATGTCTGCCATTGTAGGCCCAAAGCCATCTCTGCCACTGTAGGCCCAAAGCCATCTCTGTCATTGTAGGCCAAAGCCATCTCTGTCATTGTAGGCCAAAGCCATCTCTGTCATTGTAGGCCAAAGTCATTATAGGCCAAAGCCATCTCTGCCACTGTAGGCCCAAAGCCATCTCTGCCACTGTAGGCCTAAAGCTATCTGCCACTGTAGGCCTAAAGCTATCTCTGCCACTGTAGGCCTAAAGCTATCTCTGCCACTGTAGGCCTAAAGCTATCTCTGCCATTGTAGGCCTAAAGCTATCTCTGCCATTGTAGGCCTAAAGCTATCTCTGCCATTGTAGGCCTAAAGCTATCTCTGCCATTGTAGGCCTAAAGCTATCTCTGCAATTGTAGGCCTAAAGCTATCTCTGCCATTGTAGGCCTAAAGCTATCTCTGCCATTATAGGCCCAAAGCCATCTCTGCCATTGTAGGTCTAAGCCATCTCTGCCATTATAGGCCCAAAGCTATCTCTGCCATTGTAGGCCCAAAGCCATCTCTGCCATTGTAGGCCCAAGCTATCTCTGCTTTTGTAGGTCTAAGCTATCTCTGCCATTGTAGGTCTAAGCCATCTCTGCCATTGTAGGTCTAAGCCATCTCTGCTTTTTTAGGCCTAAAGCTAGCTCTGCTATTGTAGGCCTAAAGCTAACTCTGCTATTGTAGGCCTAAGCCATCTCTGCTATTGTAGGCCTAAGCCATCTCTGCTATTGTAGGTCCAAGCCATCTCTGCTATTGTAGGTCCAAGCCATCTCTGCCATTGTAGGTCTAAAGCCATCTCTGCTATTGTAGGCCTAAGCCATCTCTGCTATTGTAGGCCTAAGCCATCTCTGCTATTGTAGGTCCAAGCCATCTCTGCTATTGTAGGTCCAAGCCATCTCTGCCATTGTAGGCCTAAGCCATCTCTGCTATTGTAGGTCCAAGCCATCTCTGCCATTGTAGGTCTAAAGCCATCTCTGCTATTGCCGATCACATGCCATCTGTGCCATTGTAGGCCTAAAGCCATCTCTGCTATCGCTGATCATATGCCGTCTCTGTCATTGCAGAATGGAAAGCCATTCCAGCAAATTAACTAGTCAAATGGTGTGTGGTGCACATACCCCCTAGGAAAACTTTGTCAAAAACTGTTTGATGATACATGTGCCTAAATTTCAAATAGCGGCTCATTTTATGAATAGAGATTTGCTAGTAAAATAATGCATAGGTTACAATTGATGGCATCCAGGTGTGATGAAGATCTGGTCAGTTTCAAATTTTTTTTTTTTTTTTTTTTTATATAATCAATGTTCTAGATATTCCACTTTTAAAACACAAACTTACAAAAGCTGCGGTACTGATGTATGAACTGTTGGGGATGGGTGTATGTGTAAATTTCATGTGACTTTTGTTTTTCATTGTATGATGTGCAGTGTATGTGAGTTTCTGTGTTTGATTCCTTTCAGAGATGGCAAAGATGACAGTGGCTTTGATCAGGGAGCCCTTTGTGTACACAAGCAAAAGTTGGATGCTTTACTCTCCCGAGCTGAAGTTGCTCTTGTCAAACTGCAGAAGCTTCTTAATGTCTTTGATATTTCTGCTGTGTCTGTGCCTGAATGCTTTCATGACATTATTCGCATCTACCGCAGCTGTCACGACCTCGACCACATCCTCCAATCTTCATTCTTCAGTGATCCAGAACTGCAGTCATTGATCACTCAGGCCAAGAAGGAGATCAGACGTGACAAGGCAAACAAAATTTCCAAGCATTTGTCTCAATTGTTTGAAGCTTGGAGCAGCTCGTTGCCAGCAGAGGATGGAGAAAATGTAGGCACAGTGGCAATTGGTGGGAAAACTATTCGTGTTAGTGCTAAGAGAAAAGCAGCAGACATTGAAGTCTCACTTCAGGTGCCTGCAGGAGAAGGGGACAGCTGTGATAGTTCTCATTCACAGTTGAAGTCTGGTGCAGCTGGGGGTAGTGATGCGTCTGAAGGTAGCAATGTCAGCATGCTGATTCATGACTCGCCTGCTGTCTCAGATCTGATTAACGCTTGTGATACACTTTATGAACTGAAGGGAATGAAGGAACTGAGTGAAGTTGCCGTGAATGATTGTAGCAGAAGTGGATCTCATGAGAGAAGATCCTCAGATCCGTCAAGTATTAGTGCTGCTTTTGCTTTTAAAAATAAGAAGAAGAATAAAGATGCTAACCTGGTAGGTGAGAACTGTGTTTCTAAAGCTGCCAAACGTACAAAATCAGATGGCTTTGATGATTCTGGTCATGAAGCTAAGAAAAGTAGAGATGAAACCATGACAGCCACTCATGTTGCTCAAGATCTCTGCTACAAAATTTGTGAAAGTCTCCAAAAACAAATATTAAAAATTCATGAAGAGGTCAACAAAAGGACTAGGAGACTAATTAATGTCACTGCAAAGCACATTGCTGCAAATGAGAGCACTGTCTCAAAAGATGCGAACGTACCAGTTTCGCCAGGGAGTGACTCCAGCGAGACTGTGGGGTGTGATCATAATGAAGGTCCGGATGTTTCAAATCCAGTAGAGCAGGATGCAGGTTGTGTGAAAATAGATAACGACCCAGCTTCATCAGTCTTGTCACCACCATCTGCTGAAGTTAAAGACAGTGCTAACGAAGAGAAGTGTCTAGAAAAAGACAAACCATTTGTAACAGATAACATTGAACTGGTTGAAGAGAAGACTACAAACCAAGATGAACCTTTAGCTGTCAAGGAAGAAGCTTGCGAAGCAGTGTCCTCTAACAGCTGTATCTCACTGAAGGAAGAAGCTTCTGAAACTCTTGAGGATGTCAAAGAAATGCTGGATCCATGCAAAGGTTAGTATGATTGTTTATGTATCTATTAGCTCAAGTGAGACAGAAGGCTGTGGAAGACACATCTACAAATACCACGTCTATAACCGAGCTGTTCAACCAAGTTTACTCAGGGGCCAAAATGTTGTAAAAAGGGGATCATCACGGGCCAGAAGCCCAAGACCCAGCTTGGAAAGATCAGTACTACAATACGGTTGGCAGGTGATTCGCGAGCCACTTGCTAGGCGGGTCAGGTTCGGCCAGGGGGCCGCCATTTGAATAGTGGTTTATGAGATTAAGATTTATTAGCTGGACTGCCTGACTATATACGTCTTAATTGGTGGGGGTCTTCACAGCCAATGGTCAAGCCATTTGCTTCCTGCTTTGAACATTCTAGGTTCCTGTCATGGACAGGCTGTTCAGTTCATAAGTGCAGTTTTTATGGAGATTCATGGTGATCACCAAAGGAGCTACTAAGTTTGTGCTTTGTGCAGCCCTCTTGGCAGGCAGCTCATTGTTCTGTGGGGAAAGACCAAGCCATATGGGGTAAAAACAAGTGCAGTGAAGTCTATCCTCTTGACTGTAACTCTTTAATTGGTAGTTAGTACAATCTTGCCATGGCATTAATGTGAAGATCTCAGTTTGTTACATACTGATGTTTAAATAATGCGGACACAAACAATACATTGCACAATTTATTGCCAGGCATATTTCGCTGTGTCTCGTCAGTTTCATTACTACAGAGTTACATCAACATAAAATAAAGCACAAAACTGAATAAATCCAACTGAAATGCGAATAGTTTCTTCTGATACACTGTGCGTGTTTATGGCCGCTGGAAGCCCACCGAGATCTCATACTGATGTAACATTTAAAATTCAGTATCAGAATTCTTTCTAGGACTATAAGAAGTTTTTACTGATGAGTTATAACATGTAACTGGTGAGTTGTATTGTGTAACTGGCGGTTGTTGCTGATGAATTATATCATGTAAAATAGGGGCTGTTGCTGATGAGTTGTATCATGTAAAAAAGTGGTTGTTGCTGATGAGTTGTATCATGTAAAATGTCCTGAATGACCACGGGAGTGATCACCTACCATGTTCAGTCTTGATTTCTAAATGGGGTAAGGTTAAGGTTGCGAGAGCACGCAAGACCTTCCGGTATAAGTGGACCAACAACCTACTTGGACGCCTCAGACAGGGAGTACGCAACAGAACTGCCAGAACTAATTTTCTACAGCTCCCATGGTGGACTCCAGAAGTAAAACAGGCGTGGAAGGCAAAGAGAGCCGCAGTGAAGCAGCTAAAGAAAGTATGACAGACACCCTCAAGCTCACGAGAGAGAAATGGAGATGGCGGAGAATGTGAAAAAAGATAAGGTGGAGATTTTCAAGCGCTTTGCAGAGGCCAAAAGAGCAAAGTGGGAAACTTTTGTGAATGATATGGGGGGAGCCGATAAAACATTGGGGAAATTATGGAAACTACAAAGGCAGATGCAAAGAAAAGATCGGCCTATGACAGTCGGAACAATTTGTAGAGACAATGGTGTGCGTGTGACAACAGAAAAGGAGAAAGGGGAGGCACTCCATAGGTTTATAGCTCAGACAGATCATAATAATTAGACTTTAGGGATGTAGTTAGAAAGAAGTTAGCTGGCACCTTGAAAAATATGCATTATGAAGACATGATACAAGTGGAAGATATCAAACAAATTTTGAAAAAAGCAAAAGACGCTGCACCAGGGCCTGATGGTGTCAGGTATGGCCACATGAAGGCTTTGAGCGATGTAGACCTGGCGGAGATGGCTGACTGTTTTAACCAGAGCATTAAGACAGCATCATCACCGCAAGACTGGGTACACAGCTATCTAATACCACTAACAAAACCTTTTTAAAGATTATTCTAAGCTCAGTGGCTTTAGAATCATCACCTTACAAAACACACTTGGGAAGGTCTTGGAGAAGATAGTTGCTGTAAAGTTACAAGAATTTTTGGAAAGGGGGAAGCTTCTCCCAAGAGGTCTGGGAAGCTACAGGCCAGGAAAGGACACTTGGGCAAATGTGGCCACTTTTGCTTTTGACATCTATGAAGGGTTCCAGAACAGACAGGAAACTATGGCGGTAGGACTGGATCTCGAGTGAGATACGACATCTTAATGACTGCACTGAGGGAGAAGGAGGTCAGTCCGTGGCTGGCGAATTGGGTTGCAGCTGTCCTGTATTCACGTTGGGTTGCTCTCGGACAGGGCTCATGGACCTCAGAACCATGCAGTTTGGCCCCAGGACTGCCACAGGGATCCCCATCTCGCCTGTGCTCTTTAAGGTGTATACAAGCAAGATTGCAAGCCTAGAAGCACCAGGAGTTGGAAGGATACTGACTTTTGCGAATGATATCCTTGTATTTAGGCAGGAGGAAGAAAGCGAACAAACAGCCCGGGAGCTACAAGCGACAGTAGACAAAGTGACTGAGTGGTGTACAGAAATGAGGGCTGTCGTCCACCTGGAAAAGGCGTCTGTTTTGTGGTGTTCTCTGGACAACAGAATCGTTAAAGCTAATGTCTCAAGTCTCACGATAGATGGTAGGAACGTCAACAGAGAGAGCAAACTGAAGAATCTGGGAATTACATTTGACAGGAGCCTGTCATTTAAGGACCATGTGGAGAGTGTTGTGACGAGATGCCAAAAAGGACTTAGTGCACTTAAGACTATGGCTGCAATTGACATAGAGCAGAGAATGCTTTTCACACTATATCAGCACCTGATCCTGTCAGTGGTGGATTATGGCCTGGGACTGCTTACCGTCTCAAAGAGTCAGATGGACAAACTAGAGCGCATTCAGAACGCGGCTATGCAGGTCATTCTGGGTTGCACCAGAGACACCCCAGTGGTGTGTATGCGATACATCCTTGGTTTGCCGATGGTTGCAGGTAGGCACAGGTAGGTTCAGTGTCAAGAGGCAAAAGAAGTGCTTGGGGCTTCTTAGCAAAAGTTAATGGTCGACTAGCATATGATTCCACAACATCCAGCTTAAGAATGGAGGTGGCGACGGTCACTGCAGCTTTCCGCTGGCTAGAGAACACGACACACACACACACATTGTGATTGTAACTGATTCAGAAAGCATGCTGACTAAGATCAGAACAGGTATGCTTCATGCAGAGTGGCATGCTTTGCTGCGGAGGACACGGGTGAGGAGTATTGTCTGAATTTTTTCCCCGCCATGTGTTGGAAAATGAACAGGCAGACAGACTGGCTGGCTCTGCACAACTTGGTGGAATACTGACACATGATAAGGCAGACGTGTTTAGTGCCTTGTGGGAGAGTGTGTACAATACGGAGGAGCAAATGGATCACCACAGTCTGGTGAAATTGATGCAGCGGGGAGTGACGAGAGGTTCTGGCAGATGCTCAAGGCTCAGAGGAAAGGCAAGACGGAAGTTTAATCAGAATGCTACTGACACCATTAGTATCGGAACTCTTTGCTGGCTGCTGAAGATGGGGACGGAGCGCTTATGGGAATGCCCCGAGTGCTGTAATGTCGGTTCCTAAATCAAATCAAATCAAATCATGTAAAATGTTCATTGTTGCTGATAAGTTGTATCATGTAACTGGTGTTTGTTGCTAGTGAGTTGTATCATGTAAAATGGTAGTTGTTGCTGATGAGTTGTAGGATGTAGGCTTTAGGTTGTTGCTGGAGTATTATGTAAGCTGAAGGTTGTTGCTGGTTAGTTGTAAATAAACTGGTGGTTGTTGCTGGTTAGTTGAATTGTGTAAAATCATGGTTATTACTGGTGAGTTGTATGATGTAAAATGGTTGTTGTTGCTGTGAGTTGTATTATTTAACTGGTGGTTGTTGCTGGTGAGTTGATTCATGTAAATTAGGGGTTGTTGCTGTTGATTTGTATGATGTTACTGGTGAGTTGTATCATGTAACTGCTGGTGAGTTGTGTCATTTGACTGGTATTTTTTACTGGTAAGTTGTATCATATTAAGTGGTGAAATTGTAATGTGTATCATGTAAAATATTCACATGTATTTATCTCATCCAGGGTTTTGTATGTATGGTGAGGCTCAGTCATTTCATACTTACATATCACGAGAAAGTCAACCAGCAAATCCGCGTGTTTTCAGAACCACTGTCAGGAAAGAGGTACAATGTTTATTTGTTGTATTCTTGTTGTGTGACCTATGGTTTTTAAATCTTGTGAGTTTTTCTGATGGCATAACTCTGTAAAGAGTGGACAGATGCTAGGGATCTGAGGGATCCGAATCAACATGATAATGCATTTTTATAATTGACCTATGGCTGATCCACCATTAAATGGGTACCAGGAAGTAAAGACGGGTGCCCACATTACACACCGCGTGCTGATGGTCTATAAAGATATGGCCTGGCACCATGAAGTGTACTGTAACCCACTCCACTCCAGTCTCCTTTTTTTTTTCTTCTTGTCAAATTCATATTTAGGAGTTAATTTTAGATTATGATTGGACAGTAATTTGAACCTCTTTGCTTCTGATCAGAGTTAAACTGAAAATTCCATTCTGATGCGTTGCAAAATTATACACTCAAGCTAATGTAATTGTCTCCAGACTTATTTATCATAAATTGTTAAACATAAGTTCAAATACATGTTAAGGAAGTCACAAAATAAATAAGAAATTTGAATCAGAGAAAACAGTTGCGTCTTGATCTGTAATTTTGAATATTATATTTTTACCACACTGATGAATTTTTTTTTTTTATTACTTCTTTGGCATTGGATTATGGATAAAAACCTTTTTTAGAAGGTCAAAGATCCCATTTACTTGACTATTTATGCACTGTAGAATTGTCTGATGAGAATAGATAAAACAGTAATGCATGCATGGTTTCTAGAGGAGCAAGCAGGCGTAGTAAGTATGACAATACACGAGGCAGGGGAATTGGAAAGAGATTGGCTTTCATAAAGGCTGTGGTGGGAATGGCATTCTGCAAGGGACATGGTACATGCTGATAGTAATCATTACCTAAGTGGAATTAGTTACAGTAAGAGAGAGAGAGAGTATGTGTGTGGGGTGGATGAATGGATTCCAGTATATTTTCTGGGAGGTACTGTCACCTATTCAATGCTGTTCATTTAAAAACATTATGAACCTAGTATCATAGTATCAGTATACCATGATGCCGTGAAAGTTAGGTCCTCAGTTATATCACCAGAGGAAATTAAAATAGATGACAAATGAGGGCAACCTGTTTTAAAGTATATATTATTGCTTATTTCTCTTGACCTAACTGTTCATTTTCACTTTATAGTAACTGTGTAATGTTAATTAATGAGGAGAGAGATATGTTGTTGTTGTGGTTGATGTAATTTGAGTATGCATTTCATGTTCCAGCTCAAACTGTTTCAAACCAGTCTGCCTGACGGTATATTCATTAAAGGATTTGAGGATAGACTTGTGAGTTTTCACTGGACAACTGAGATTATTGTTATTGTCATGTTTTTTATTGATGCCAGAATTCAGTATTAGATTTACTCAAATTACTTATTTATTACATAGCATAATTACAATTACATTAAATTCAAAACATTAAATATGGCAAGACACTTGATGATGGTGATGATGATACGTCTTTATTTTAGATAATGTAGACAGCAGATCATTTTTGTGTGTGGCTGAATATAGTTACTTTTGCTTGTAGATGTATACCTTCATCCTTGTTTGTAGATATTGAAAACTTTCCCTGTTTATAAATGTACACAATGTCCCTGTTTATAGATGTACACAATTATCCCTGTTTGTAGATAAAGACAGCAGTTCTATTTGTAAAGGTAGACCACCTGTATTTGTGAACATGGACAATTGGGCATTTCAGGTTTGAACAAATACCAAACTTATCAGTGTAGACAATAATTAGACCAACATTGTTTTATGTCTTCATAAAATGTATGTGTTTAGGAAAGATTAATATGTGTTTTCTTATTCTCTCACAGGATCTATACTCAGTGATGATTCTGGGACCAGCAGGCACACCTTACGAGGACGGCCTGTTCTTGTTCGACATGATGTTGCCTAATGACTACCCGAATGCTCCACCACTATGCCACTATCACTCGTACTGTAGTGACCGTTTGAACCCTAATCTGTATGAGGATGGAAAGGTCACCAACTTGTTTCATTCAGACTGGACAAGCATTTGTCTAGATACATGCACATTCTACATTAGCTTTCCTGTGTTGGTTCCAGGGCCCCATCCATAATATAGACCTACTGCCTCCCTTAAAAACCTACCCCCTCCCTTATAGACCTACCGTCTCCCTTATAGACCTACCCCCTCCCTTATAGACCTACTGCCTCCCTTTCAGACCCACCCCCTCCCTTATAGACCTACCGCCTCCCTTATAGACCTACCGCCTCCCCTATAGACCTACCCCCTCCCTTATAGACCTACCGCCTCCCTTATAGACCTACCGCCTCCCTTTTAGACACACCCTCCCTCCCTTATAGACCTACCGCCTCCCTTGTAGACCTACCGCCTCCCTTATAGACCTACCCCCTCCCTTATAGACCTACCGCCTCCCTTATAGACACACCCTCCCTCCCTTATAGACCTACCGCCTCCCTTATAGACCTACCCCCTCCCTTATAGACCTACCGCCTCCCTTTTAGACCCACCCCCTCCCTTATAGACCTACCGCCTCCCTTATAGACCTACCGCCTCCCTTATAGACCTACCGCCTCCCTTTTAGACACACCCTTCCTCCCTTATAGACCTACCGCCTCCCTTTTAGACCTACCGCTTCCCTTTTAGACCCACCCCCTCCCTTATAGACCTACTGCCTCCCTTTTAGACATACCGCCTCCTTTTTAGACCTACCGCCTCCCTTATAGACCTACCACCCTCCCTTATAAATCCGCTGCCTCCTTTATAGACCTACCGCCTCCCTTATAGACCTACCGCCTCCCATATAGACCTACTGTCTCCCTTATAGACCTACCGCCCTCCCTTATAGACCTACTGCCCTCCCTTATAGACCTACCGCCCTCCCTCATAGACTCAACGCCTCCCTCATAGACTCGCCTCCCTAGCAAACATGTTATACAAGGAAGCTAATTAGGATAATACCATAGGCAGATTCACTCTGACTTTTAACGAAAAGCCCCTGATTAGTTAACTTTTACAACATGCTTGTTGTTGAGGGCAGCGGGCCTTTTCTTGTTATCCCCCAAAATAGGGCCCTGGCACCTGCACAGTGATGGTGTGTTGTTGATATAGACCACATGTGGCATTGATAACAAAGAGTTGCTTGAAAATACTGTTTATTGTAAATGTTGGAAACGTATTATTTATCATTCTTTTTCTTCTTCTTTATTTTTAGCTTGCATTGCCACCCTCAGATTTAACACTTTGCATCACAGAAAAGCTACTTTTTTGTTCTGTCCTAAACAACAGGGGTTTACAATAAATAATAAGTGTTTGGGTCTAGAGCACTTTAATACACGCACGCGCGCTCGTGCATGCACACACACACACACAGAGACACAGAGAGAGAGAAATATATATATATATATATATATATATATATATATATATATATATATATATATATATATATATATATATATATATATATATATACACACACACATTATAGCCCTATGGGACGTAGAAGTTAGAGGGTTTGCTAGGATGAATTGCATGAGTGTAACTACATAAGGAGATGATCCATGAGCCAGGTTTGGCCTGCAGGCTGCTAGTTGAATAGCTCTGCTTTATGCTGTGATACTGAACTGTCTGAAATCTTCCCTCTTGAAACCCTGACTCTCTTCCTCACCAACTTTTCTAATGTCATGGTGTACTCCAGTTTTCTCCTCATGATTGGCCCAAGGGATGCAGATTGTGTCCTTCTCATCATGGTAATTAGTTTTCTTTATAAGTCAGTTTCTTTTAAGACTTCATTGTTTTTGATAAGTCCATGATATTCTCATTATTATTTTTATTTGATAAAACCACTTATCTGTAGCTTCTACATTAGGAATAGTTGCCAATAGAAACGAATATTGTTATCTTCTTCTTAGCATTCACTTGCTGCAAACTTCGGTGGAAAGTTCTGGTTGTTCATTCCCTTCTGGACTTTGGTCTTGTTCCAGCACTTGTGTTTTAAATGCACATCTGTTTAACACATCTGGCGTATTCTTATTTAGACTGTTGGTTCCTTGCCTTTCGGGCAGATGCACTCTGACTTAAAAGGAAGCACCCCTAATGTCACCTTTTACTAAATATTTGTTTGGGGTCATTGGATCTATTCTCACCCCCTCCCCGCCCCCTTTTTTTTTCATATATTGGCACATTTCCATCCATCCAGACGATAGTGTTATACTGTGCAGTGAGGAGGCATTAGACTCACACCCAAGTGATGGTGAGTATGATTAGCAAGACCTGCTCCCGTTAATAAAAGTCTTCCACAGTTATAGCATGGAATTGCAGGACCCCCCAGTGGGACCCTGGAAACCACACTGGGAGAAATATTAATATATGAATATTATTGAAAATCACACCTGTATAGAATGTATACAGAGAACACATAAAGTGGTTGTGCTGACAGCTTAACGATCTACTGAGATGTGGCAAAGACAAGAACAAGATGCATTCTGTAAAGAGTATGTTACACAACACAGTGGACAGTCCAGGTGACACACGTGGCTTTAGACTGAAAACTTCATGTGCACTTGGAAGCCAGTGTTCACTACTGTTGCCCTAGATTACAGACAGACAGAGAGATGGATAGATTGATTCGTTAATTGATTCAAATTTTTGTTTAAATTCCTAAAGAAACTGAATGTGTTTACCTCTTATTTACTGACAGGTTTGTGTTTCATTGTTGGGTACGTGGGCAGGCAAGGGGACCGAGGTATGGACATCCAAGTCCAGTCTGCTGCAAGTGTTAGTTTCTATACAAGGTAGGTCTCACACATCATCAGTGTTGAACAGTTTCACAGCTTTCTGTAAAGCTAATCATATGAAGGAGAACATACAAAACAGAAAAGCTAGTTGCCTATCCTTTACAGGACATCACAGACCAACCCAGCATTTGTTGGTCGTTTATGGTTTCACAATTAGTGGTCCGTTATTGCTTTTTCAATGATTTGCTGCTCAGGTAAAAGTCAGAGTAGAGCAGTCTGCTGCCAAATCACCTGTAGCTGAATTAAACCTGGCATATCAGAATTATGAAACCGTTCATACTCCTAAACCACAGATGCAGACAATTACTGCCATTTATTTTATTTTATTTTTTTAAAGTGCAGCTCAATTACCTATTTCAAGATATCTCACTAGTTTACTATTGAAGAAATCTTACTGTCAGGACAAACAAGCTTTTTTTTTCCAGTAATTTTGCAGACTTGAAAAGGAGAGCTCGCTGGGGTCCCAAGAAATGGTTCTTATCAGGAAAACAGAAATTTCTCGTATCCAGATAAGAATTCATGCAGAAAGAAATTTGCAAGGGATAAAAAAAATTTCTTCACAACATAACATTTTCCACATGTGAGATCACTGTACTGTCCCTAGACACTGTACTGTCCCTAGACACTGTACTGTCCCTAGACACAGTACTGTCCCTAGACACTATACTGTCCCTAGACACTGTACTGTCCCTAGACACTGTACTGTCCCGCTGTGTGATATTAGAGTGCCAGCTGAGGGCTTCTGGTTTATTTTCACAGCACATGTTTTAGAACTGCACACAAACATGTTTTGTTTTCTTCGCTGCTTAGACATGTTCATGATTGATTCGATTTGATTTGATTCAAGAACCGACATCACAGCACTCAGGGCATTCCCATAAGCGCTCCGTCCCCATCTTCAGCAGCCAGCGAAGAGTTCCGATACTAATGGTACCAGTAGCTTTCTGATTAAACGTCCGTCTTGCCTTTCCTTTGAGCCTTCAGCTTCTGCCAGAACCTCTCGTCACCCCCAACTGCATCAATCTCACCAGACTGTGGTGATCCATCTGCTCCTCCGCATTGTACACGCTCTCCCACAAGGCACTAACCACGTCTGCCCTATCATGTAGCAGTATTCCACCAAGTTGTGCAGAGCCAGCCAGTCTGTCCGCCTGTTCATTTCCCAACACACCGGCGCACCCTGGTGAAAAAATCCAGACAATACTCCTCACTCGTGTCCTCCACAGCGAAGCATGCCACTCTGCACGAAGCATACCTGTTCTGATCTTCCTCAGCATGCTTTCTGAATCAGTTACAATTACAAAGTGTGTGTGTCGTGTTCTCTAGCCAGCGGAAAGCTGCAGTGACCGCCGCCACCTCCATTCTTAAGCTGGATGTTGTGGTATCATATGCTAGGCTCTCCTGCACCAAACGTTGACCATTAACGTTTGCCAAAAAGCCCAAAGAACTTCTTTTGCCTCTTGACACTGAACCGTCTGTGTAAATGATCAAATCCTCTGAGCGAGCATTATCTTGAATTAATTGCTGAATTTCCACCTCTGTGGCACCTGCTGGCCAGTCTGCATTCCTGGCTCAGCATGATTATGATTCTACACAAGTCTGACTGCTCAGGTGGCACTTTGACCCACTCCTCTCCTCGCCTAATGTTCTCAAGGATGCAAACCTGTCTGATTGTGTCTTCTGCCTGAGCCATCCATGACCTCCCTCTTATCAACCGCTGACCCTTAACTGCAAACAGAGCTTCATGCAGAGGGTGGTCTGTGTATGAAACTACCCTGAGATATGGCTTCGCCTGCAGCACCTTGTGCTTACCTGCAACTGTCGGCAAACCAAGGATGTATCGCATACACACCACTGGGGTGTCTCTGGTGCAACCCAGAATGACCCGCATAGCCGCGTTCTGTATGCGCTCTAGTTTGTCCATCTAACTCTTTGAGACGGTAAGCAGTCCCAGGCCATAATCCACCACTGACAGGATTATGTGCTGATATAGTGTGAAAAGCATTCTCTTCTCTATGTCAATTGCAGCCATAGTCTTCAGTGCACTAAGTCCTTTTTGGCATCTCGTCTCAACATTCTCCACATGGTCCTTAAATGACAGGCTCTTTAGACATGTTCATTTAATTAATGTCTAAAAAAATTAGACATGTTCATTTAATTGACTACGTGTAATGGTTGTGATATGTGCTGTAAGAACAAAGTCCAGGTTGTTTAAATAAATGTCATTTTTATGTTACTCATTCGTTCTACAATTGCATATTTTGAGGTTTGATTTAATCTCAGTGGAAAGTTGAAATAAACAGTAACACTCCTTGTTCAGATGTCATTACTTCCCAAAAGAACAAGCAAACAAGGCAGGTATCATCTCCACAGTGAAGGTTGACTGTATTAAATATCCTATACTCCTTATCTGTCAAACTCTTCATACACTCGGCTAGGAGATAATTTGTTCATCTCTTTAACAGGTCAGTATCAAGTAGTTAGTACAGATTTCATGCTAGCTGTGAGCCCCATGTTACTGTGGAATTAAACTAAGTAGCAAACCGTTGAAATTAGGAGTGTTGCCTTTCAGCACACACACATTAATTTTGCTGAAATACTTTGTTGCCAGGTCTGATCCTTGTGCCAGAACCCTACTACAATGAGGCTGGCTATGAGAGGCAGCGTGGCACGCAGGTGGGGCAGGAGAACAGCAGAATGTACAACGAGATGGCCATTTTGAAAACTGTTCAGTCACTCACCAAAATGTGCCACAACCTGCCCACACTTTTTAAAGAAGAAATTTATCAGTATCTAAAAATACACGGTCCTAGGTAAGATTCTCATGAACATATTTGTAAGATTATAGGCTTTAACATCTGTCTTCAGCCTATAGGCCTAGGTTAGATTGAATATATTTATAAGATAGAGGGTTTTAATATCTTTTTTCAGCCTTTGGTTTTAGGCAGTTTCTTTTTACCTCTTTAGTTTACCTGAACTGTGTATTACCTTATCTCTCCCCTTTAGTTTACCTGAGCTGTGTATTGCCTGATCTCTCCCCTTTAGTTTACCTAAGCTGGGTATTACCTCATCTCTACCCTTCAGTTTACCTTAGATGTGTATTACCTGACCTCTCCTCTTTAGTTTACCTGAGCTGTGTATTACCTCATCTCTACCCTTTAGTTTACCTGAGCTGTGTTTTACCTGACCTCTCCCCTTTAGTTTACCTTAGCTGTGTATTGCCTGACCTCTTCCCTTTAGTTTACCTGAGCTGTGTTTTACCTGACCTCTCCCCTTTAGTTTACCTTAGCTGTGTATTACCTTATCTCTCCCCTTTAGTTTACCTGAGCTGTTTATTGCCTGATCTATCCCCTTTAGTTTACCTTAGCTGTGTATTGCCTGACCTCTCCCCTTTAGTTAACCTTAGCTGTGTATTTCCTGATCTTTCCTGTGGTTTACCTGAGCTGTGTATTACCTGACCTCTCCCCTTTAGTTTACCTGAGCTGTGTATTACCTGACCTCTCCCCTTTAGTTTACCTGAGCTGTGTATTACCTGACCTCTCCCCTTTAGTTTACCTGAGCTGTGTATTACCTCATCTCTACCCTTTAGTTTACCTGAGCTGTGTATTACCTAATCTCTACCCTTTAGTTTACCTGAGCTGTGTATTACCTGACCTCTCCCCTTTAGTTTACATGAGCTGTGTATTACCTTATCTCTACCCTTTAGTTTAGCTGAGTTGTGTTTTACCTGATCTCTCACCTTTAGTTTACCTGAGTTGTGTATTACCTTATCTCTACCCTTTAGTTTACCTGAGCTGTGTATTACCTGATCTCTCCCCTTTAGTTTACCTGAGCTGTGTATTACCTTATCTCTCCCCTTTAGTTTACCTGAGCTGTGTATTACCTGATCTCTCCTGTGGTTTACCTGATCTGTGTATTGCCCGATCTCTCACCTTTAGTTTACCTAAGTTGTGTATTACCTTATCTCTACCCTTTAGTTTAGCTGAGCTGTGTTTTACCTGATCTCTCACCTTTAGTTTACCTAAGTTGTGTATTACCTTATCTCTACCCTTTAGTTTACCTGAGCTGTGTATTACCTGATCTCTCCCCTTTAGTTTACCTGAGCTGTGTATTACCTTATCTCTACCCTTTAGTTTACCTGAGCTGTGTATTACCTGATCTCTCCTGTGGTTTACCTGATCTCTCCTGTGGTTTACCTGATCTCTCCTGTGGTTTACCTGATCTGTGTATTGCCCGATTTCTCACCTTTAGTTTACCTGAGTTGTGTATTACCTTATCTCTACCCTTTAGTTTAGCTGAGCTGTGTATTGCCTGATCTCTACCTTTAGTTTACCTGAGTTGTCTATGGCCTCCTAACTTGTAGCAGGATGTAGAAAATGAGTTGCTGAAATATGTTTACTTGTAGATTCATGTTAACCTGGTTAAAATATTGGTTTGATTAAAGAGTTCTCACTGTTTATTTTGATGGACATGTTTGCATGAATACGAGTATCTAATTTTAATGACTAACAGTTTGTTTAAATGTATGTGTGTATCATTGACCCAGGCTTGTAAGTGAGTAGAGTACCAGCTGATTATTACTTCCAGAAGGGCAGAATGTTAGACTGGCCTGCGTGCCCAATTATTAACCTTTTAAAAATAAAATTTGTTCGTCCGTTCGTTCGTTCCAGGATAGTCAGCTCAGAAGGCATTTCATACAGGACAGTTGTGGTTTAGGTGGCTGGAATAGCTGATAATCTTATTTACACGTCATCAGTAGAAGGATACAAGAATTGCAGAAAATGGATGCTCCAGTTAACAGTTAAAAAACTAAATTAACAACACCAGGTTAACTTCTGTTGAAATGCTTATGTAATGTTTAGTCAGGCTTATTCTCTCTGTATGACTGTTTAACATTAATGCACCATTCATTTCTGATTAGGAATGAGAACACTGGTTAACTATCAGTTACTAATACTTTAGGTTTTGCATTGTTGCATCTTCTCTAGCCATTCTGT